ACTGTACTTCTCTTTGAAACATGAAGTTCTCTCCTTTCCAACTTGGCACACCTCTATCCCTCTGTGTGTAAACTGTAGAAACGTAAGACTGGGAGAGATTCTCAGCCATTAAGTCTGTGGAAAGGGAGTATTCCCACACTTCACAAGGTTTCTTTCAGAGATCCAAATTAGGACTCCTCACTCCCAAAGAAAGATTCTTACCCTTACATCTACAAATTTTTCCCACAAATATGTTCTTTGCATCTTCTCCACCAAAATGAACCAAACTAAATCAGGGTCATCCAGTAAATCAGAGCTTCACAGTATGTCCCATCTTCAGCAACACTGTTGCATCTCAAGAGAGACAACTGTAGAGTTTTGTAAATAATCAGTGGTTTCTTTCTTTGCTTGTTAATAAATGGAAAAAGCTCAATTAAAAATAAAAAGTTCTCCAGGGAAAGTAAATTAATGCTTGTTCATCACTGTGAAATTGTAGACCATAAAAGAAATTTTGTTAATGAGTCTTATGATGGCATGTTTGCTAGAAAAAGGTTGGAATTCAAATCCAATACAGTGATTAAAAACACACAACTCTTCTTGGCCTCAAGTTCAACATAACTTACAGGCATTTTTGTATATTTGGTGTCTCTCCCAACTAGTGACATCTAGCTGAAACTGGATAACCTGTTCAAAAGCATTCATGGGTGTACCAGCAGACAGTGGTGGACATTCCAGCAGCATATGTTTTGCTTTCATTTTCCTCTTAATAATCCAGATGGAAAAATAAAAAATAGAAAACCCAACCCCCAAAAAGCCATAAATTACATACTGCCACTAAGAACTGATCCCAGTAGAATCTAAGACAGATTTCTAACCTAAAGCATTACCCAGTATTTTCTATAGCACCTCCTGGCTTAGACAACCAGTGCGATCTTACTTAGCTAAAAGGAGAAAGACACTTAGAGCAGTAAGATTTGCAATGCTTGAACTACTCAAATAGAAATCACCTGTACCTTACATTCCTTATTTCATTATAAAAGATGTGTATAGACTAGAACTTGCTGATTTGTTTTTAATTCTGCTTTGTGAAGTACCCTACAAATTGCTGCTCCATTCCTTTGCCTCTTCAAATTAATCCATTCTCTGGCTGTATTTCCCAACCTCTCTATATAAAGTTCTCCAATAAAAAAAAAAACCAAAACAAAGCAAAAAAAAAAAAAACCACAAAGAAAAAGGTGTCTCTCATGTATTCATTTGTATCTTTCTTTACTGGAAGAATTCGAGTGTGTGTATACTTACATTTAGAGACATTTTGAGTTTTATTTCATTTTGTTTCTTTTCCAACATGTCTGAATAGTCTAAAGCTGAGGGTATGAGACAAGGATTATTGACTTAATGTAACTGTTACTCTTAAAGTATGACTTCAGAAAAGTCAGCTCCTACCTACATCTGAATTTCACCTATGCAACCGTGGTGAGCTCAGCTCCTGTACCTCAGAGATGAATTGTGAGGCCAGTTATGGTAAAGACTGGCATACTCAGCTACTACATTAATAGAGGCTTTATAAGTATAATAAATCAATCTGTCAAATTCCTCCCATAGAAACTTGTCTCTTTGAAGGTTTGAAATACAGTTTTGTATACAGTCACAGGATAAATCTCTCTTACGTGGCAGAAGTAATGATAGTATCATCGTGTAATCTAGCTAACAAGAGTTAAAGAGATTTAAAGCACTACATTATATCTTAGCAGATTGTATGTCTGACAGCATTTAGCTAAGACGTCTGTAGCTGTCAAGTGTAATCACTGTAATGAATGTTCTGTAATCTAAGAGACAACTATTCAGCAAATTTTTAACATCTGGCTAGTCAGTGACTTTTCAACTAAAGAGGTCAAAACTTACTATTTTTAGTAAGAACTGTAATTCAAAAGACTTTTTCTACTTCTACTTTTGTGATATATATTCCTGTAATATTTTAACAGTAAAATTTGTATTTTTCCTTCAAAATCTGCAGTAAGCTTATTCATAATTACTTAAAACTGCATTGAAATGAAACACAAATTCTTGGAGTTTCACTATGCCATGGAGTATCTTTAGTTCATCAGCTAGCAGGAAAGGGGACCATTTCACATTATCACTTCCATTACTTCCATGTTCCCATTATTACTTCTATTTAAACACTTACTGTGCAGCCACAACTGAAGGCGCACAGAGGGTTCTAAGGAAATATATATTCCTAATCCACAAATTGCCAACTCTTTTGCTGTTTGGCACAATCCGTTTGGAAGATAATGTCAGTTATCTAATGAAGGAAGATCTAGTTTCCTCCTGGAAAAAAGCTAAGACATTTCTTTTAACTGTTTTGTTTTAATGTATCTAAAGCTTTAGGTGTACTTCTGTTGCAAAGAACCATTCCTTTTGCAAAGTAGAATCACAGAACAGCATCATAGAATGTTTTGGGATGGAAGGGACCTTTAAAGGTCATCTAGTCCGACCCCCATGCAATGAGCAGGGACATCTTCAACTAGACCAGGTTGCTCAGAGCCCCGTCCAACCTGACCTTGAATGTTTCCAGGGATGGGGCATCTGCCACCTCTCTGGGCAACTTGTGCCAGTGTTTCACCACCCTCATTGGAAAAAATTTCTTCCATATAGCTAGTCTGAATCTATCCTCTTTTAGGTTAAAACAATTACCCCTTGTCCTATCACAACAGGCCCTGCTAAAAAGTCTGTACCCATCTTCCTTATAAGCCCCTGTTTAGTATTGAAAGGCTGCAATAAGGTCACCCCGCAGCCTTCTCTTCTCCAGGCTGAACAACCCCAGCTCTTTCAGCCTTTCCTCATAGGAGAGGTGTTCCATCCATCTGATCATCTTTGTGACCCTCCTCTGGATCCGCTCCAATGGGTCCATGTCTTCCTGTGCCGAGGACTCCAGAGCCGAAAGCAGCACTCCAGGTGGGGTCTCACCAGAGCAGAGTAGAGGGGAAGAATCTCCTCCCTCACCCTGCTGGCCATGCTTCTTATTATGCAGCCCAGGATACAGTTGGCTTTCTGGGCTGCAAGAGCACGTTGCCGGCTCGTGCCCAGCTTTTCATCCACCAGTACCCCCAAGTCCTTCTTGGCAGGGCTGCTCTCAATCCCTTCATCCCCCAGCCTGTATTGATACCAGGGTTTGCACCAACCCAGGTGCAGGACGCTGCACTTGGCCTTATTGAACCTCATGAGGTTCACACAGGCCCACTCCTTGAGCTTGTCCAGGTCCCTCTAAATGGCATGTCAACTACACCACTCAGCTTGGTGTCATCTGCAAACTTGCTGAGGGTGCACTTGATCCCAATGTCTATGTCATTGATGAAGATATTAAACAGTACTGGTCCCAGTATGGACCCCTGAGGGACACCACTTGTCACCAGTCTCCATCTGGACATTGAGCCATTGACCACCACCCTCTGGATACGATCATCCAGCCAATTCCTTATCCACCAAACAGTCCACCCATCAAATCCATATCCTTCCAATTTAGAGAGAAGTTTATTGTGGGGGACCGTGTCAAAGGCCTTACAGAAGTCCAGAGAGATGGCATCCATAGTTCTTCCCTTGTCCACTGATGCAGTCACTCCATCATAGAAGGCCACTAGGTTGGTCAGGCAGGACTTGCCCTTGGTGAAGCCATGCTGGCTGTCTCGAATCACTTCCCTGTCCTCCATGTGCCTTAGCATAGCTTGTCGGAGGATCTGTGCCATGATCTTCCCAGGCACAGAGGTGAGGCTGACAGGTCGGTAGTTCCCAGGGACCTCCTTTTGACCCTTTTTAAAACTGGGTGCAATATTCCCCTTTTTCCAGTCCCCTGGGACTTCACCTCACTGCCATGACTTTTCAAATATCATGGAGAGTAAGTATCCACCATTTCCCTTGGACCTTTTAAAAATATTTGAAATACTCCGTAATCAAGATGGTTCACTATTGTGATCACTGCTGCCTAAGGAAAGGGTGCAGTGCTTGTGGCTTATTAGGAATCTCAACAAATTCTTGCAGTTGCCCTATCGTCTTCTCATTATGCAGGTCACTCAAGAAAAGAAGTCATGACTGATCTTTATTAAAATTAAGATATAACAAGCAAAATTAATGACAACTGACCCTTGCAGAGCCATTTTGCCAGTGTCCTAAATAATGAGATGAAGAAGAATACCCATGATCCATAATGCTATTTTTTACTAACTGTTTCGCCTTTCCATCAACGTGCATCACAATGAAATCAAACAAGGAAACAGATGCAACCCTTCAAATATAAGCAGATAAATGTCTTAAACTTTGCTGTTACTATGTCTTAGTCTGGCGTGAATACCATTAGCTATAGCAAGAGGAAAAGGAAAGATTAAAAGATATATCATAGTATTTGTACTTAGGCCAAGTGTCCATCAACCCTAGTGTCTATCTATAGCAATGGCTAGTAACACTTGCTAAGAGTAAAAACAAAATATACTGCATCACTGAAATTTGCTTGCTTCTGGCAGTCATTAACTGAAAGATTTCAAGAGCTGGAGTTTACATCACATTTAATAGGATGGATCTATGTTATAAAACCTTGCAGAATTGCTTTTTGAACCTATTTATTAGTGCAGCAGCTCAACCTGTATACCAGGAAGCAAATACATTCATGAGAGAGATTCAAAATCATTGTTTTCTAAATGGTTTTCAGACTTGGGTTACACAGCAAGGAGCTCTGCAGAGGCAATCCTCAGTAGGTGATTTAGTATCTACCAGTTTAATAATCTGAATGAGCTGATGGAACAAAACTGATCAGCAGAAATAAGTGCTTTTTTGGCTCTGCTATTGGAGCAGATCACTTTATAAACAGCACCAGAGAGGCCATTAGTCTAAAGCTTTTAGACATAGTTTTACTCTATACAAATCAATATTTTCATACTTTCAACAATAACATAATAAGAAGAATATATTCTGGCATGTGAATAACAAACGGACAAAAAATAAAACTAGTGCAAAAGAAAAAAAGGAATTACCTTCTTGCATTTTTTTGCAGTGTATTGCAGTCAGAATCTTTAACTGAAGTTGATACTTTTTGCTTAGCCAGGATTATTTCTTTAGCCTAAAATAAAAATAGACAGAAAAATAAGTCTCATAAAAGTTGATATTTATGCTCACAAGCATTTAAATAATCTCTCAAAGATAGAAAAATTAAGAGAGTAAATGTCACAAGAGAAAATTTATTCACTCTTTCTGTTAGATTTTAACTTTTCATTCAGCATGAAACACATGCATAAGGCAATTTTAACCAAATGATCTCAATGGAATTATATTCGAATATGAGTGTGTGTGTATATATATATATATAATATTTAAATATATACATCTATTTGTATTTAAATATATTATGTCTTATTTAGTACTGTGTTAATAATGCACATTAGTGATTTTCTCCATAGCTAACTAACTGGTTCATGATGTGCCTTCCACCTGCATTTCAGTTCTGGTGTCCATGCACTAGTGACCACAAACTCCCTCAACTCCTTTGCTAAAACAAAATCTCAAGTTCAAAGTCCAAGCAAATTCCCCTTCTCAAAGAAAACATGTCCATCACCATTTTTTGGAAGACATGTTATTGGCAAAAGGGTATCTCATGGCAAAAGCGCCCCTCGTCTTAGCAACATCATGGGAGAGGGACCCCCTCAAGCATTCAAAAGGAAGGAGGAGAAGAGGAACTATACCAAAGAGTTCATTTTATTGACTATTTCTTAGTGAAATTGATTTGAAAGTAGTCTGTTCCAGATGCCCAGTAAACTTAAAGTCTCCATTCTAAAATCTGCAAGAAATAAGACAGAGCCTGTAGCTTCTGTCATTTGTTTCTGAAATTCATTGTGAAGGGGCTGATCCCCTCTGATTCTGTATATACTCTGGTGAAGAAAAGTCTGTTTCTTTGGACCTTCCCTCTCTTCTCTTCTGTTCTTTCTTTTAACAATAATTTATTCCTTTGATTCCCTTGAGACTAATGTTCCTTACTTTGCCCTCAGAGCACATCGTCAAGGATGGTGAGGAAATTTGCTGATTCTGCAATCAACAGAAAAGGCTTCCATGACAAGTGATCGTGGAACTTAGGGAAGGGATAGGATTTGCCTACTAGAACATCTATTATCAATTATCAAATATTGTTTGACCTAAAAGCTCTTTTGCTCAAAAGATGCCCTCCTACCTCTGTTCAAGAAAAAAATTAGGTTATACTCTCTACTTTTTCTTGGTTTTAAAATACAGCTCCATATGCAACAATGGTATGTGAGCTTCATCAAGCCAGTAGTTGACTGTCCATCTCAGTCATGTTGATCAAATGAGGATAACTGTTCTCGAAAACAGAACTGCCATAGCTTCAATTGTGGCCAAATAATATAAAACTTTGGGCTCAGTAGAAAGATAACTGGGTGAAATTTAAAACCTGTGATATACAGGAAGATGGACTAAATTAATATAATGAAGCTTTCTGAAAGTGATTATATGAAACTATTGCTAATGTATTCGTTAAAAAAACAGGAAGGAGAGCTCTTCTAAGATTATTATCAGAGAATTCTAGAAATGGATGTGTTACATAGAGCCTGGAATATATTCAAGAAAACAAAATTAATATGTGCAAACAACATTTTTGAGCTGAGTCATCTTTTCAGTCCACATTTTTTTCCTACAGTGGCTTTCTTCTTCTACAACAGGGTTTTCACTGAGTAACAGTTTCCCTGAAAGACATTTATTGTAAAGGATGAATAGATTTCTAGGGTTCCACAGCTGTATGTCTCCACATGCCTTTGACGGTAATGAAATATTACTGCATTTACCATACCTAGATAAGTGAGAATTATGTAATGAAATTCTATCAAATAACCTTTGCACTGACATGCATAATATATACCACTCCTATTTTTAAATTAATTAAGGAATCTAACTTTCATTGATCTTTAAGTTTCTAAATGCTTTTGAAGGCCTAGGAAATAAAAAGCAGACAGAATTCATTTGTGACTGCTTATATAGTAAAAAATTAATCAAAAAGTCCAAATTCTGCTCTCTGATTCACTAAAATAAGGAACGTGAAGTAAGTTTTAAAACATGACACAGAATGTCACAGAACCCTACATAAAACCTGCTTGTTATTAAACAGTCATTTTTGATGCTGTTTCTCAGACATTAATTAAAATGCTACTGATGTAGTCTGCTGATGACATTTTACAAAATCACTGATTTAACATGCCAATTTTGGTCAACGTCTATTAATGAAACTCTCAGTTTTTAAATTTTCCTGCATCATCTGCAAAGATGACACTACCAGAGCATAGAGGTTCAAAGTTTGAAAAGCTTCTTGTCACAAATATGTTTCCCAGAAAATGAAGCATGTACAATGTAGTTACTATCATCTCTTTACTCATGCAAAATCTCTGTACAGATGATTATTACAGTACAAACACTACATTTTAAAAGTGTCACTATATCATTTCACTGAATGCTGTGTCCTTCAGTTTGTTTTGATGACCTTCCAAAAAGTGTTGGTAGACACTGCCTTAGAAAGACATCCATTCTGCAGTGATTTGCTGTGCAGTAAATAGTACATGAAAATGTACAGAAAAATGTTTCTAGAAAAGAAGGTGAAAAATATTTGTTTTCTTTTACTTCATGTGGAATTTACTAACTCCAACATCTGTGGTATGCAAGGTCATCACAAAAGAAAGGAAAGAGGTTTTGTTTTCCATTTTAAAGGCTAGGGAACTATGAACGGGCTGGAAGATGAATGGTGAAAGGTTTAGTAACCTGATCAAAAACTCACTAAAGCAAGTGAAAATCACTTACTGAATTCAGTTAGCGTTCTGTTCTGTTACTGGGAAGAGAGATTTCTTTTCAGGATAGTATTGCAAGAAGCTTATTATAGGAGACTATTTTTAGGTTAACAGCATTTTTAACATTTCAGTTACCTAAGGAATGTGCTAGACCATTTATCTAGTTGCAAATAATTTTATTTTTATAATAATTGTTTAATCAGGATCAAAAAGGCTAAATATAGTGCAATATAGTCATTAGGCTTTTCTTACCACTGATACAGCCTGAAAGAAGTTGCATGAACTCTGTTCTTCCTATTATCTTACTAAAAGGAATTCATATTAAGTTGATGATATCAAATTAGTATTCTCAAATATTGTTGATAACCTGAGCCATAATGTTCTGGAAGAAAAACATCTATTGGCCTTCCAGTTGTTGCTAATCTTTATTCATTATACTTTGCTCCCTAGATTACATCCTATTAATACCAATAAAATTTGTATGGATAGAAAGCATCTGAAAAGGATATGTATCCAAAAAGCATAGCTTGTGCACTCTAATTCGGTCCTGGGGGAAGGGAACAGATTCTGTGACTGCAATACAGAACAAAGAACAATCGGTTTGTACCTGCTATGTGCAATTGCTGCGAAGAAGCACAAATCCATCTTTGGTCAGCAAATCCATGAAGTTCATAGGATCACAGACTCAGAATGGTTGAGGTTGGAAGGGACCTGGGAGGTCACCTGGTCCAACCCCTCTGCTCAAGCAGGGCCACCTAGAGCCAGTTGCCCAGGACCATGTCCAGACAGCTTTGGAATATCTCCAGAGATTGGAGACTCCACAAACATCCCGGGCAACCTGTGCCAGTGCTTGGTCACCCTCACAGTAAAAAAGTGTTTCTTGATGTTCAGAGGGAACCTCCTCTGTTTGAGTTTGTGCCCATTGCCTCTGGTCCTGTCACTGGGCACCACTGAAAAGAGCCTGGCTCCATCCTGCTATGGACCCTCCCTTCAGGTATTTGTATGTATTGATAAGATCCCCTGAAGCCTTCTCTTCTCCAGGCTGAACAGTCCCAGCTCTCTCAGCCTTTTCTCATAGGAGAGATGCTCCAGTCCCTTCATCATCTTTGTAGCCTTTGTCTGGATTCTCTCTAATATATCCACGTCTCTTTTGTACTGGGGAGCCCAGCACTATAGACAGTACTCCAAGTGTGTCTCACCAATGCTGAACAGAGGGGAAGGATTGCCTCCTTCAACCTGCTGGCAACACTCCTAATGCAGCCTAGGATACAATTAGCCGCCTTTGGCAGAAGAGGACATTGCCAGCTCACGTTCAACTTGGTGTCCACCAAGAGTGCCAGGTCCTTTTCTGCTAGGCTGCAAGTTTTTGGATCCATTGACAATGAAGATATTAGACCATGCAGCATTCCATTCATGCATATCTCTCTGTGTCCCAGCTACACAAGTAGTTTTTAACCAAACCAAGGCAAAGCTCAGAACATTAACTCTGTTATTCCGTAGAACTTCCCTCTCCTCCAGTCTCACAAATATCTATGAATCATGACATTCTGAGATGAAACAGGCTCCAGACCTTCAGGCTAAGTAAAATATATAGGTGTAGCTAAAATATCAAGGTAGGTGAAAAATAAAGTTAATAATGGAATAAAGGCAGTTCTCAATCACAATATGAATTTATTTTGCTGGTTTAGATATGACTTTCTAGGCAGGCAGCAGATTTGAATATATCCAGAGACTCTGAAATATTTACATTTTCTAAGGCACTGATCATCCACAAAGAGACTAGCAAGATGTATGAGTAATAAAAGCAGGTTATGGGATAGAAAACTGGCAGTACTTAAAATATCTGAAAGACAAGTAAATAGTAAACAAAACTGTTCAGAAACATTTGAAAATTATATTATCCAAAAGAGCAAATGTCAAGGCCTCAGTTTCAAAGAAATAAATTTAAGAAAGCATAAATTCTCATGAGTGAATTTTGAACATCAACAAGATATGGATCTTAACCAAATGAGTAAAATTTTCAGCATTCTTCAAGCTCCTGGTGAAACTGCATGCTTGATGCTAGAGTGACAGTTTGTGATTTAATGAGAGGCTGTCCATGTAGGGAAAGACAGATGGTATGGGACTGGAGCGTAGAAGAAAACATAGAAGGTATAGAACCACAAGTGGAAAAAGTCAAAAGCTGAAAAGTAACTTTTTAGTTACAGCTACTAGTTGCATAGTCTTAGAAATAAATCAGAGCACAAAAAGAAATAAATGACCCCAAATAGCAGCTGAAGGTTCCTCCTTCAGAAGAAAATGCTGTAATTGATACACCCTGATTCTTATGTAGCACCATGTCCCACTGCTCCTACACAACAGAGAAACTTAGTAGAGGCCAGAAGGGTAAGGCTAGAGCACCAAGAATTTTTTTTCCTATAACTATCCTTGGGCAGGGTTACCTTATTTCTGAAAGCCAAAAATATATGATGTAGTCCTAGAGGCCTTAAAAGCAGCCCAACCCTCCAAAGGTGTAATGGCAGAAGAGCAAGATGCTGAAGTTGATTAACATCTCCCACAGCTCCCAGAACCCCACCATGTAATCTATTCTCATCTCCAGAACTCTCCCTTCCTAAAACTTCCAGCTGCCTGTCTGCTCCAAGCCCTTCAATCCATCTCTGCTCTTCCTGCAAGTCCAAGAACCCAGTCTTGCACCAGACAACATCAAGTCCCACCTTAAATGCCTTCCTATTTCTGCCACCATCCCACCCATTGTGCCCCAAACCTGAAGATACCTTTGCCACTCAGATTCCCTCTGCCCCTTGTCTTCTATTCTGGTTCACACTGCTGCGTCTTCCCTGTATTTAAGCTCTAATGCCCCCTAACCTTCCGCTGGCTGCTGGCTGGCCACCCGTTACCTCTCTCACTGCCTACTTCAGTAAGGCAAGTTGACCTCCATGTCTTCCTCATTCCTGGTCATTCCTTCTCTATTCTCTAATTTTTTGCAGATGTGTGGGAATGGGTAGGCGATGTCCTGATTCCACTTTTGATTCTCTCTCATCTACTCATTATGTCATCCCACAAATCACAATACCGCTTATGCATCCAGGGTACAAGCTACGTTTACTGAAACCTTAGGAAGACACACAGTGGAGAGGAAATAAAGTGGAAATACCTATCAGCTTGCTCTCATTTACACTGCAAGAACTGGGCGGGGCAGGGAAGAAAGAGATACAAAAACCACTTTAAGTCAGTTTGCTTTTACTTGCTAGCAGAACTCTCAATTAACTCAAATCCTGATCAGCATGACACCATAGAGGCAAACATCAGAGCACAGGAGAGCACAGCGTTAGGAATACTAGGGGAATATGACTTCTACCCAGGCTTCTTTAAGTACTAGGGACTGCTGTGCAGCATTTTTCCATTGCAACAGCATGTTGGCACAACCCTCTTGCTCTGTGATTACATACACTTTGTACAGCTGGTCAGTGGATCCTTTCCAGCCAGGGAGAGCATGAAGGGAAAATGAATTAAGCTACCCTTGTTCTGATCACCTAAGACATGAGAGTAGTACATCATCCCTGTCCTTGAACCAAAATGTAGTCTTCATACATATATGTGTGCTGCACAAATTTTGAAAAATTGATTTGTTTTTATTATTTCACAGGTGGAAAAAGAACGTAGGTAAGTTGCTTATTTTCAGTTATTTAAAAAATCCATCTTCCTACACATTTGCATAATACTGCATGTTTTGCAGTCTCTTTTCATATATAAAAAGCCGGTTTTGTTGAAAAGAAAGGAAATATAAATAGTTCCATTAATACTGATTTTCATAATGTTCCTTTAAAGGGATCTTAAATCCTAAGGTTTGGCTCTAAGATTAAATTGTCTTTCTGGAATGCTCCTTCTTTGCGAAATATGTCCTGATGAGAAAGGCTAGACTGAATAACTTTAGCTAGCCAGATGTTACCTGTAACTCAGAAACATTCCCAAAGTACTCACATTTGAAGTATCTTTGTACGATGCCTCCTCAGATTATTTTACATACCTTTGGCATGCTGACAACTAAATGACCAGTTGTTTGTGATCTTTTAGCAGAGCTGCTGTCTGGCTTCACTTCCTCAGGGAGCACAAGCTGAAAAGGCTATGAGAAAATATGGGATTGAAGTATATCATGCTAAAATCTCTCTCTCTTTTTTTTTTTTTTTTTTTTTTTTTTGACCTGGACAGAACACGTGCAGAAACATTACTATCACATCCTTTGATCTTAAGGACAGTATAGGTCTAAATCCTCTCACTTTAAATGTAATATTACTAATCCTAATAAATGATTAGCATGCTAAACAGCTTTTACTTACAAGTGTAGTCAAATGTATATTCCTGAATTGCTGTCATTCCTGAAGTGACATTTCTAAAGAAGGTTATAAAATGATGCTTGACTTACATTAGCAATTAAATGAGAAAGATTATCCAGTCTACTTTAGATATAAAGTAATTCTGAAGTTTTGTTTATGCAGCTGGTACAGTCAAAAATAGGGATTTTGGTTTACTAGGTACTTTGAATTTTTCAAAAAAATTGATGACAAAATTAAAACCACCGAGAAGAGAGAAAACTGGAATGACATTTTAAATGCCCTTTCAAAAGAATATACATCCATTTGTTTCTGTCAGCTATAAATTCCAGATTGTGAAATTGCTAAATTCTAGCCTAGGGCAACTAGCAAGCTCTCTTCTTAAGTGAATTATGCTACACTGGGCGGGGGGAATAAGAAAAGAGGAGAGAAAGAGAGAGTGAAACTTCATTTCAGGCTTTGCATGCCTTCTGGTTAGGACTTCCACAGTTTATGTGTGGTCCAAAATAATGCAAGTATGAAAGAATGTTTTTTCTGCATAGGTGCGCACGGTTGGTAACTCATAAAAGTCAGATCTGGAGTCCACTGCATAACTATGTTAAGCATTAACTCTTGATTTGAAATGAATGAAAACACTAACCTTTCCCTTCACCAGTACTCTTATGTAAGTTGGCTGGACATCAACATCAAGCAGAGAAGTGTCCAAATGTCTTTAGAATAAAATATAAAGAAATTAATCAATCTACAATACAGTCCAGTAAATAAGCGGTGCAGACCATATAGCTCTTTAATGATGATTTCGTAGTTTATAAACTACAAACTTCAATTTCACTTATTAAGTTATATGAAATATTATTAGGATTTAATGTCTTTGGAAGAAAAACATGATCTTCCAGTGTGTTCACAGAATGTCAATTAAGATAATGTCTAAATTCTGTCAAGTCCACCACATCAGCTATCGTGTAACTGCAAGAATTCAGAATCTTTGTGGAAAATGAAAAGGTCTTTCTTCTGTTAGTTTAGGGCTTTACATTAATATGAAAATTAATCTATTTGCTATTTAAAATTACAAAAATATTTTGCTACTTTTCTTTCTGAAGGCTTAACTAGTAAATTTATAATAACAGAATTTGCTGGAAAGCAATGAACAGAAATACTTTACATTCCCAGAAAACACAGTACTTTTAAATTTCAGTACTCTAAACCAAAATTTGTGACCTGTAAAAGCTCCAACGTCTGCTCTTCACCATGTGACACATACAGTCATGTTCCTGTGACCTACTAGTGAATGCAAAAGTACGTATTCCCTATTTCCCTTCTTTTATAACATTACTTCTCAGGTGAATTTTTCAGACTTTCTAGTTTGCATTTCTTACAAGTGAGCACAGAATATTACAACATATCCAACATTTTACTGCACGTGAGCAGATTTTCTGAGGCTCAAAAAACCCCTAATTCTTATAATTCAGAAACATGGAGCAGGCCTCTTTTGAGGGAAATTAATGAACTGTAAGGGAAGAACACATGGCATGCATAGGGTTTCTGTGGTATACAACTAGTTCAAGCTTTACTCTAACAAGTTCCTATTATGGGTAAATAAGCTTTTGGGTTTCCAACCCCTTCCTGAAGCATGGGCAAGGCCACTGTACTGCTTAGTAGTATATACTATCAAATAGTTATCATCAGGTTTCCTTGTCATATTTTGGCCTGGTTTAATCAAATTTCTTCCAGGCAACACCCTGGCACAGTTCAGGAAATAGCATGGGCCATGGACTCTTTCCAGTAAGCAAGGAAAGTAGGACAAGGCTACCCTACTCTGTCTTAGGGAGGAGAAGAATTTAACTAGAAAGACATGAACTGTACTAGAGCACTTGTAGGGCCAGAGAATGGGCAAAAACCCCATTCCCTACAACCCTAATCTGCAAATGAAGAATGGAAAAGATTTTACATAAGTGTAAAAGGACAGGTGTGGAGGAAACCTGCTGTGGACTGCAGAAAACATCAGTTCCAAAAAGGACTATTAGACACAGTCGTCATTGAGGAGTAACAGAACAGTCTGAAGGGTCTTTGGTTTATTCAGCTTCATTTCTTTGTCATAGACTTTGAGATTGATTCCATTGCTGCCTATAGCATTTGTTTTCCTCTTCAAAAGTCCCCATTACAGAGAGGAGTAGATTTGAAACACTGTGTATTAGAACTTAAGAATGGCAAAAATTAAGAGAAAAAGATAATTTTGACCTGTAAACAGCAAGATCCAAGATGACCTGGTTGTTTTCTTCATCATCTTTCAAAGAGAAATGAAGCCTAATAATAATGACAAGAAACATCTCCAGGATAAATACAATTGGAGTCAATAAGCAAACATTATGGCATACTTCAAATTCAACTGCTAACAATTTTAGATGAATACAAATACCATTTAGACAATATGTTACATGATCATTTTAGAAACAATTGCAATTTTCCTTAAGAACAGAAAAAAATACTGCCCTTTGAACCAAAGTCATTCTTACATTTATTTTCTGTTCTCCCCACCCAACTCACAAGTGACAAAAAAAAAATACTGCTGAAGGTCAGTTAAAATTAAGATCAGTCTGTCAATGCAGAAAGAGAGACATCTGCTGGTGAAATCTCTCTGCTCTATTAACATCTGCATAGAAAAAACAGTTCATGAAAAGCATGAAAACCCTGGAACTTGGTAACTCTAACCTTATCATATGTAAAAAAAAAAGATCTTTGTTCATAGCAAATAATTTGCCTAGAGTATAAATATCTGCCTGAGTATTTCCAAAGTAAAACATGATTTGCTCAATATCCTTGATTCTACAAGTTTTATAATATTTGTTGAAAATGAGACTGTAGATTGTATTAGCTGAGAGTTTGTGATCTGCTGGCTGAGTTCTTAAAATTGTGAAAGAATCATACCAGTTATAAATTGAAAACAACATTTATTACTACAACTGTAAGGAGATCTAGTCTAGACTTACAAGTTCTGCCCATATACTCAAGCATTTCCCATGTATTAAAGCAGAGAATAAACCCCATCTATAAATGAGAAGATTTTTTTAAATTAGCTATTAGTATAAAATGAGAGGGTTTTTCTTAATGTAATTTATCTAGAATATTCCAGTGACATTAAAATACTTAGATACTTTGGGTTCAGGTAACAGAAAGAAACTCCAAAGTTTAGAAGACACATTTTTTCAGCAATAAAAGTATTTGCCAGATATACTTTTTAACTCTTTGCTTTCCTATGTTCTGACACAGTAAACTTGCAAGAAAGCTTATGGAGCTTTTAGTTTATGAGTATTTTTTAATGGAAAACTGCAAAGAATACAAAACAGCTTTGTTTCCCATTCATGTTTTTTTTCTCTTACTGCATCACAAATTTTGAGAATTCCCTAAAACATGAAGGTGAAAACGAGAAAAGAATTGTAAAATTTTCTAGGAGGACACTTCATCAGAATTGAGGAAGGGAAATAGTCTGTTCTCAGCATGCAGCCATTCCTTTTGCCAACCTTCCAAAAGAACATCAGAGAAGCTTGGACATTGCTATGGACATTAGACTTTCGCACTGAAGCAAAAACTTTGCAGAACACCATCTGTCTACTTGTATCTCTTTATTTATGTCTCTCCAATACACTGCCAGATTGCACTGAAGAGCTGTGATATTCTTGTTGAAGCCATGACAAAAACTGCTCATTGATCTGGCTTTACGTGGGCACATCCACGGACTAAAATCTAATCCAGAAAACTCAGGTGACAAAACAGGACTGCTACTAACAGCGAACTCTAGGGGACTGTATTTCTTGTAAAAAGATAGCTAGAGCTTTATTCTAAATGTCTCTGCTTTTTAGAGGCATAATCAAATTGCATTAACACAAGATTTAAACTATTTTAGAGTTGTCTTCTTTGAACTAGAAAATTATTTAAAGTTTTTTTCAGTCAACACATTTTTATGAAAAAAGTACATCAATACAATGGTAAGTATCTTCTGGTACAGATGGAAAAAATGATGAGATCTTTTGCCACTACCTTTAATCTTCCCTATACCACTTAAAATTATGCACTGATCCTTAATGTAGGTTTTCAAATTCCTTGAATTTGCATGGACTTATAAATTTCCAAGATTTAGCAAACATTCTTCATGCTAACGATAAGCATGTTCTCAGCTTTGATTTTGCAGCTAAATCAGTCTTAAGATGGAAAAACTTGTTCAAAGGACAGAAGGCAAGTGGGCCTTCATAGGCCACTTCTTGATCACAGTCTCCTGTAGGAGGCCCTTTGGGGAGTTGTTTATGAGGAAACAACGTTTGCACTCTCTGTCTCCTGTTTTCTCTTAGAAACGGAAGGCTGGGTTCAAGTGAAACCAATGGTAACACATGGCTGATATCCCTGGAAACTCAGTCCAAAACACTTGAATACCTGGGTGCCTTTGTCAATGGTAAAATACAAGAGACTTCCCCATATCACCAGACTCTGTTGCTTGAGACCTCATTTGGTGTCAAAGGACCTCATGCTATGGAAGTTAATTACATTTCCTTCCCAATTCTGCCAGTTTTACATCTGTCATCAGAGGACAGAATTATTTTGTCCAGAAATATTATTTGGATGTATTTTTCCACATTTAAAGTGGCTACTCATACACATTTATCTTCAATAGTCAAACTGGTTAAACTTTTTCCACTACTGGCAAGATGCTCAAAGAAAGAGAGCCTTACCATAGAAAGGAAAAGAGTAAAATGTCTCATATCTTTTACAGAAAAACAAGTTCTTCAATCATCAAAGACCAAGATGTTAAATAAAACAACCTTCAACACTTTACCAATGAAAACTAATTCTTTTTCCAGCATCAGAATATAATTTTAGAAGTCAGTTTCCCCACCGGGAATATAATATTGCAACAAGAATTTGTCAGTCCTCTTATTTTTGCATTGTCACATATCTTGAAATAGTTGCCCAAATCAACTACAAAGAGGTTAGCCTGTTTAACCTCTTAACCTTACATACTTAGGCGCATTCACATTCAGAACTTTTCCTTCTGCAGTGACCAATGTCCGAAGAGGCTTCTCTCTCTTTTTTGATTCCCTTAACAAAACAGAAAGAAAAATGGTTTATAATTTCACAGTCTGGAATTTTATTTTTAATAGCAAAAAAAAAACAAAGAAGAGGATGGCAAGTGGTAAGAACTATCTGTTATTTGATGTTAAGCATACAACTTATTCAGGAACAAAACTGGTTATATCAAATGTCCAATTGTACATTAAAAGCAATATCTAAAGATGAACAAATGCTTTGTAATATCACGTCTTACATTTATAACAACTTCTTCTGCATGTCACAATGTGCATTATCAAACAGTAATATAGGAAATTTATCTGGTATATCTTAAGAAATCAGTGGATTGCTTAAACATATGAAATGGGATGTTTTTCTAGTTATGAATGGTCATACTAATCATAAGGTATTATTACTGTTAACTGATTTGATGTATGTGCAAGCAATTCTAAAGAAATTTTTTATTCATGCTAACTTAATTACTTCTGCTGAACAAATGGTTGGCATATCTCTAAATAGCGTGTCTATCAGTCACTATTCTGCACTAGTAAAAAGAATTTTAGTGGTCAAAAGATTACAAGCAGCACCAAATAGGATACAGTATGACCAAAATGCATACATATAGATTATTTATTGATGCACCTATTACAATTTTTGTTGTGTTCTTCCTTCAAAAAATACAATACATATTACTGATGGAGACTTTAGTCTTCACTATCCATGTCCAGCTATCAGCAGTTAACCTATATCTGACTTTCATTTAGTGCAATAACCAAGCTACCTTAAATTTATCTCTCAAAACAATGCAGATCACTGTAAGATCATTAAGCCTTGTAGTACTGGTATTTTCCTGTATAAATGTTTAGATCATGAGCAAGGAGAGGAAGAGTAAGGAATCTCAGTAATATGAAAAAGAAAAATCTGCTTGCACCTAGGTAAAAAAAAAAATAGGCTATATTTCCTTTAAAAGTACAACACTAATTGTCGTTTTGCATTAATCCACTCTTCAGCTGGTCAATACAGTGTGTATGGCTACTTCAGCTGGCATATTAAAAAAAAACATGGCTCAAAAAGACAACAGCAATACATTGCTTTTTGAGTTCCTGAACCAGTTCCTTACTATAAGTTCAAGATTAAGAGAACTCTAACGGTAAATCACTGAGGGAAATGAAGTGTGTAAGATTTAGACCACATTGGGGAAAAAAAGCATAAAAAAAGATTTGGTCTATAAATACAATGGATTTGAAGAAGAAATTAAAAAATTCAAGTGGAGCTACTGGAATAACTACATAAAACCAACTTCTGTTTAAGAAAGATTCACAACTATCCATGTGTTAAATACTATTCTATGGTATAAATCAGTGCGTTAATGTGGGATTTGTGGGCTAGAAGTTTCTACACCTGAATCCCTACTCTTGACACTTAAATGCAAAGTGAACGAACCACCGCTCTGTTCTAAAGATGCAATTCTCAGAAATGCTTCAGGAAATTATATCTTACCACCTCTTAGCTGTTAATAATTTGTTTCTAGATGAAATCTGTCTGCTCATGTGAACCATTTTAAGGCAAATTCAGTCATGTCAGAATCATTAGAGTTGAAGATAACTTGTTTAACTTCGTGCTGAGATAAGCTAAAAGGCCTTGTTGTGGCAATGAGAAACTAAAGGAGATCCAGTGCGCCTTCCAGCTGCAACTGATTTTACACTTGTCTGAATTTTCTTTGAATGAAACTGCAAGCATTCACTCATTTGGAAATAGCCAAAGGTGCTCAGTTTATTATCAACTGTCCAACTACACCCCAGCTGGCAAATTTAACACGTGTTAACAGGTCATAGATAGGTTCAAATTTAGCATTGGTCCGATTGAGTTCATGTCAATTTTATACTGAAATAAACATCCTTTTATACTGAGTAATTTATATTAAAGTTACATTTCAGCTCCTGTCCACCAGCAAGGATGATTTGAAGTTGTCAGGGGCACTTTTCTGTTCTCACCTTTCTCATGCTACCTCACAAAAATCTCACCACCAAAACAAAACGAACTGTGAAAGGATTTTTAACTCCTTTAAATGCTTTGGAAATTTAGAAAAATCCAGAAAGGAATTATTCTGTCGTTATTATAATGCTATTTGGACACTCCTTGAATATTTAGAGGGAAGCATTTGGAACACATTTGCTTTTGACTAGAGCAAGGCATCCCCAAACACAGCAAAACTCTAACTAGCTAGGATCTGAGTTTCACAGTAATTCTTCTGGGAAAGTGCTAGAACTTGAATTAATAATAGCAACAAGTTATGCAGATTTCCAAATTTCTTGGAGAGTTCCCTAGGACTGACTTTTTTGATACTTGGGCTTGATAAATCTTTTAAAATGCATGCCCTTAAACAGAACAGCTAGAAAAATCTCCGGCACAAATGCTGTTATATAAGCAAAAAGAAAAAAAAAAAAAAAAGGAAGAAAAGGACATTGCTTACAATGTTTGCGGAACTGATAAGCCAGCAGCAATAAAATAACTTTTTTTGCTAGTATCTGCATTAATTTTCCATGGTCAGCAAAACCAGTGGCAACTTTAGAAAGTTTTAAAGGCTTTTCAGGGACGAGACATCTTCAGATTCAGCGTGCCAAATAGCATAGATAACATGAAGAATCTTATTACTCGGGACGAATATCTTTGATAAAGTATGTGAAAAAATTTCTAAGTCACATAGAAAAGGTGCCTGAAATGCCACTTGTGCAAAAATTTTGTAACATGGCCTGTAAGGCATTTATATAATGCAACCTGCACTAGGGATTAATGCTTTTAGCAAGAATATTAAACATTGAACTACACGAAATATGTTAGCTAACAGAAAAGTGAAACTTCTAAAGTCCATAAAATGGAGTTGAAAAGAGATTTAAAAGTTCTATTTGAGGAAAACCAAGATAAAGGGTATCATAAATAAATTTTAGAAAATGAAACAAAACAAAATGAACAATCTGAATATTTTATTTATATTTTATAAGCATATTTGCACAGGCAACAGGGATTTAAGCTGTCAGTTCTCAGTAATATTTAATGTGAGGCTGTCGCCTACCTCTACTCTGTAGGTCTGAAAATTTTCCCTTCCTCAATTCATAGAATATATTAAAACAAAACCATACCTTATATTGTCTTTAGCTCTCCGTTTTTCTTCAATATATCTGTGAGTTTCTAATCTAGATTCTGGAGTATACGGTGTAGGCTCCTCCCAAAATCTTCTGTCTTCTTCATCATCTTCAACTGTTCTCCACATTTCTTGTTCTCTGTCTCCTTCTGCCTGATGGTTTTCTTGGTTCTGTAGGGAGTCTGGGCTACACAAGATCACATGGAATATTATCGCAATGAAATGAAAGAAGAGTACTTGCTAATAAATTCTTGTAATAATATCTTTTTAACCCAATACTAATAGCTGTGTAATTCCTACCAGGAGCAGTATCTTATAGATTTGAACAACATTCTCTGCTCTGCTTCTTTCATCACTTGACAAAACATATTTTCACATGTTTTTCATTTGCTTAACTAAGAAGTGATACTATGGTTATGCCTAACCCTCTGAAAACCTGATAGATAGTTCAACAGATTTCATTTCAGAAGCAGAATTTTCAGATACCCTCACAACTTTCAGGTGAAAGAAAACCTTCAGTCTGTGTGATGTTTAAATATTCCCAATATCAGGCAGCAGCAGATTAGAAATTTATAGGGTAGCAACATTTTACCTAGGCATCTCCTCAACTGCCATCTTAGAACCTGAATAATTCTTCCCCCTAGCCCTAAGCCTCTGTAATCTTCAGAAATTCTCTATCATTATAGAGAGAAAACTGAATTTGTGATACAGCTGTGATCTATGAGGGCAAAGTTTCATAGCCAGCTCCGTGGAACTTAGTCTCTATTGGATTAAAAATAAGATGGATGGCAACTGCAGTGGAAGATGATCCCAGACAAAAATCCTTCTCCTATCTAGGTAATCTCAGTGATATTAGGTGGAAGAAGTATAGAAATCAACATTCCACAGCCTTTTACATCTCAAAAGATCTGCAATATTCCATTTCAATCTTCATATCTAACAACTCTAAAGCAAAAGAAATTATAGGTGAACAGCTGCTTTCTCTGGAACCCGTGCATTACCTTAAGCAACAACACCCAGCTGTTCTCCTGAAAGAAGCTATCAATTACACTATTTTGGCACCCAGACAATTTAGCTTGGAGTTTTGGGACAAAAATTCTATTGTACTGTCTGCAGGTCAGTAATGAATGATGTTTGTAACTAATTATACTTTTCATTAGAGATGACATGCATGAGGAGAAATAATTCTGCTAGAATCAACAATAAAGACAAAAAGATTTAAGTGGAATTACATGAACTATTTAATGAGGAAAACAAAATTCTTAATGAAGAAAGAGAAGAATGATGTTTACTCACAAACTGTGGTTGCTTACTGTTACCTGTCAAATCCATGCTTAGATTCCATTTGTTTTTGTTTCTTGTCCTTTCTTTCTTGCATCCTTCTTTGAGCCTCTTCTTTTTCTCTGGCCCTCTTGAGAAGGTAAGCTTGTTCCTGTTCTCTGATTTTCTGTTTCACTTCTGGATAGTTTTGAAGTGCTTGAATCCTCTCTGAACGTTCTATTTCTTTACTATCCAAACACTTCCCAAAGAGAAAAAAAATCAGTATAGATATGTGAGAAATTTTAAACATGTTCAAATCAATAAATCCATTAAACCGTAGGTTAATTTTGATAGATTACTTTCTGTATAAAATTAAAAATACGCCTTTCAAACTTCCATAGCACTATGTAAGTTATACTATATTAGAAAGAATTAACAATAAGTTACTATTCAGATCTGGAAATGTTTTTGTGTCTCTGAGAGCTCCTTTTTGCATTTTCCAGGAATTTCAGTTGGTCTTACCAGACTATGTAGTAGAGAGAGTCCCTTCAGCCATTTCTGATATTTGCCTGGTCTTGATTCAGGCTCATGAAACTATTACAAAATGATTTCTTTTGATGTGTTAGTTTATTGCCAACTAAGTGAGCTGAATCTACTCATAATAAGTTAAGTAAGCGCCTGTGCTTCTCCAAGGGAAATTTGTGGCAGCATATTTCAGGACTGGGACTGCCTGTTTCCATGGCAGGAAATCATTACATCAATACTTCATTGCACAAAACCTCAATCTCAAAGTATCTATTTACAGTTGATGCAATACAATGCATTTTTACATCAATTTCTATCTTTCTACTGCCTTACAATGTTGGTTTGGTACATATTGCTGGTATGGTACCAACAACCTGGTAACTTTCTGCAATCATGAAAATAATTTAAAAATGCATTATATATATAAAAACAAATCAGAAAAAAAGCCAGAACTGTACAGTGTATTTATTTTGTTAGAACTTTGTTTAAGTATCTCCAATGAAAATGACAGAAAAGTTAACAAATGCATGTGGTTTAGTGAAAACAGAACCAATTTATTATCACATTATTTGCTTTAGTCACTTATTCTTCAGAATACAATTTAATTTCCTGTGGATAGTAAGAAAAATACTCCTAGTTTTCCTACCACGGGAATTTGTTTTGCTTGGGATTAGTATGTTCAGTCAACAATGCTAGTTATTGATTTGGATAGAAATTTAATTTTAAAAATCTTACTTTTAATTGATGAAGAGTTGCCACCACAAATTGTCTATAACCTTCAAATTCAGTGCATGGGTTACCCACTAGAAACAGTTCTTTCAGATGTATATTATATTTTAGGGCTTCAATACTGGAGAGTTCACCAATGAAATTTGCTGTCAGGTCAAGTTTCTTCAGTTCTTCACAGCCTGTTTGGAAAAACCTTAATTCAATTTGTCCATAACATAAATGTACACGACATACACACACACACAAACACATACATGTGTGCACACACTTGGATATAAAACTGTCTGCATTTGTTTTCTGTGTACTAATTTCATTCTATTAGGATTCGTCTTTTCAAGCCACAAGTGAAAGAGTGACTCACAGCTTAAGTTAATGAGGTCACAATATTTATAGAAAGAAAAAAACCCGCAATAAAATAAAAAAATATCAAAACCTATTATTGGTTTTATCGCTATTAAAACTTTGTAGTCACTGCTTGCATACTAGATGAGCTATGAAATGTTTCATTTCCAGATAAGCTGGACTTCAGTTTTAACACTCTGATTGCCTTGGTACCCCTCCTCAACTGAGTCTTCACCATATGGCTAAAAGAGTTTCTAATTGCTTCAGGAGAGTATGATCAATTATGGATTTAATTTCTGTGTACTGTTAATCTTAGCTAACATTATTCAAGTGTAAAGATAAGGTTTTCTTAAAATTCACTCCAAGATGAGGTTTTCCACTCTATGGACTCAGCTATCGTTGTGAATACTTTATCACTGGTTTAATTGCAAATACCAGTGAGAAAATGTTGTTTGTTAACCAGAACAGTTCAGTATGAACAGAAACTCTAAATTAGCTAACAAAATGCTCAGGGAAATCCAGATCCAAAATTTATCAGCCTCTCCTTTTATCATAATCCGTCCGTGAATCATAACCTTGACTTTAGGAGTAAAAAAGTTTAGCTAAGAGCAAGCTCAACTTCAATGCTCATCATTGTAATCACTTCTTTTCATTTGCAGGTCTATTTGGCAAGTATTTTATGCATAATGGACCTGAAAGAAAATAAACAACTCGAAATGATTTATTAGGGGATTTAAATAACCCAAATTTTTGCAAGGCTCACTCCCAAATGTTCTGACTCCTAAGTAAATGACAAATCACAGTAATAAATAATGCAGCCCGATAGAGGAACCTAAAATTTACTGTCATGAAAACAGATGCAAGTTTCTCAACAAATTGCCAAATATGTAATGTACTACCTACTTCTTCAACTTTTACAAAGTTGTGTTTAGCCTATTTGCTTATTTTTTTTAATTTGATCTAAGCCATCTTCTTGAATCAGCCTGTAGACTTAAAAAAAAAAAAAAAAAAAAAAAAACAGAAAAAACAAAACCGAAAGAACAAAACCAAAAAAAACAACCAAAAAAGCCCCAGCATTTTTTATTGTTCCCTTGTCAACGTGGACATTTTAAAGATTCAGCAGCTGGCCTAATCAGAATCAAGAGAAAGAAATCAAGTCAGAAATTATTCAAGTAATATGGAATGTGTTTATGGGTGGCTCTAAGTCTTAGATTTTGATCTTGGAAAATGCTAGATGCTAGATGCATTACACATACAATTATAGTGACAAGATAAAGGATTAAACACAGATAAAACAGATAGGTCTTCATGCAATGACAGAGGAAAGAATCATCTGAAAAACTCTTTAAAAATACCCCAGACTGCCAATGCAACCTGTGCACAGAGTAGAACCTTCTTGTGTGTGACAGTTGATTGCTAAAGTGAAGATTACTGCTGAAACATTACACAAGAGAGACTTTTTACAGCCTGCCTAACATTAAAAAAAATCACATTGCTCCAGCTAACCTGCACAACAAATTATCTTATCTTTACAGGGGGGAAACACCATTTTCATGAAAAATTTGGATTCCCGCTTTGTAAAGTATTAAAGAATGGAGCTATCATAGTTGGCAACACTGGTGAGAGAGTATGCAAAAAGCGAGTTAAAATACATTTACGCAAGTTCAATGACAAAACCGCAGCAGTAGGAAGCACTTGCTACGAAGAAGCATTTTTGAAATGCTGCACACAAAAAGGCTCTTTCTGAGTACCAACAAAGTACCTTTACTGGTGGACATAATGGCTTCCACCCTCTTTTAAACTAAGTTACAATTTAGGTATTTCAATATGAAAGGCAAAATGGTTTGTTTAAAATCTGACCTTCCAGATTTTCAATTCTTTCAATGTTGTTCAAAGCTACATTTAAATATTCCAGCTTCTTTAGTTTGCCCACATTTTCTGCAACAAAACATAGATCTGTTATTTCAGTTTTTTTCATTGGAACAGGCATTATCATTTTACTTGCTCAGTTTACTTCAAAGAAACAACAAAGCAGAAAAATAGGAAGGACAAATCAGAATATGTATCAGATTATTGGGCATTAATATTTTAATATTAATAAAAAGACAAAACTGAAAAAGTTCTCTGAAAACACATATTAAAATAAAAAAGTAAAAAGAAATAAGTAAGGTTATAAACATTTTTTTTTTTATCACAAATCCATAAAACACATATATAATGCAAGAGGACTGGCCAAAAAGCATGGTGAAACATTCCATTTGTCATGAAACTCAGGATCAGGCCATACTTAGTCAAGCTTTATAAAATTAGAGTTTTACACTCACTTACATAGAAAAGATTGGCTTCTTTAGTATATATTTAATTTTTAAAGATCTTTTATCTACAGGGTTAATACAAGAAACTTCCTCTCCTCCCTTTTTAAAAATTTTGCCAATAAGGATTTATGTGGCTTCAGTATGAGCAAAACAAAGCCACACCCCACCCCACCCCTTCCTAATTTGGAATCTAACCTGAATTATTTTCACCATGAACTATTGAAATTAGCAGGTTCACAATGTGCGGGGTTGCGTCAGAATGGCTAGCATTTCCTCCTTTGAATACATAAAGTGGGTAAAGAGGGAATATGGTAGCAATAATCTTCATGAGTCCCAAAAATGTCTGAAAAATGCAAATACTACTTGAGATACATGACACACAGACATAAATTTGAGACAAGATACATAGTATTACTTGTGTCACAGTTCACCAATTTCTTCCCAGTCACCAGATGTTTCGAAGATCTGACTGGAAAACCTACCCAACAAAGTCATAAAGTTTACCTCAAACTCTAATTCACAAGCCGCCCTTATTAACTGCTGTGCAAACTGTCCCTGCTGAGACAAAGAAATTCAAGCAGAGAGAGCTGAACCAACACAGATCATGTCTACAGCTGATTTAGCTGTCTAGGCTCCTCTATAATCAAGAAAGAGAAATAGGCTCTTCAAGGTGCAATTTGTCTTATTTTAAATTGGCTATCTAGAATCAGTGAACCAAATAATGCTCAAAAATACACCTTTTCTTCGCCACTGGTTAGAAAGGGAGTCTACAGTAACTGCTTAAGACATAGATGTGTGAAAGTTTGGTGACATGAATCCTACCATTTAGTTTACTAAGACCTTGGAGAGATATTTTTTTCATAATTCACAAACAGATGATGAAGTTAATTTCTCAGCAAGGACTTGTGGAGCTTAGGTTGGCTGTTGGTTTCTCTTATGGTATTTCTGTAACGGCAGTGCCTGTACCCATGAAGATGTGAGAGAGACAAGTGTTGAAGATAATGGTATCTTGTGGGGTTTTTTCCATTTATAGAAAAGAAAAGAACCAGGACTCATCCATACAGTGGATGCCTTACAACTTGCTAGCTGATTAGTAGGCAAGTCTGATCTTGAGGGCTGCATAAAGGTTTTCTTTAAGAGGAGAAAAGACAAAACCCAATAGAGTCAATATAAACCATTCAGCTGTGATATTTTGAAGTGTGCTTGGAACTGCTGTGTGCTCCGCGTGGACATGTTGGTATCCACTGGGAAGAATGACTTCCCAAATTCAGTACTTTGTAACACAACCCCTATTGAAAACTCTTTTGGTCACTACTTATATAGTGCTTTTGTTTTTCATTTGTTACTAAGGCATTCTCTTGGAAAGCTGTTACATTATACAAGAATATATAAGGTAGGAAGTTGGATACTTTTCCAACTTGTACAGTTAGATTGAGTTAAGACAAAAATTGAATGTCTCAAAAATGAGATTGCTGAAAAAAACTTGTGTCCAAAAAGCAATAATCTGAACAGCATTATGATATCTTGTACTAACCTAAAGGAGGTGTGAGTGTTGACAAAAGAACGAGATGAAATCTTGTGCCTTATTAAGGACACAGTAGCAGAGCGAAAACCAACTTATTTTAGTCCCATTTTTGATGGGGCAGAGCAGCATAAAGCAGTTTCAGAAATCTTATTCTCTCTGGGAGAAGATTCCTCCACTCTAAGAAAAGCAGATGTTATCAGTACAGGTACTCCCTAGGAGTTTCCTGATGAGCCCCTCCAGAGGTTTTAAAGCCTTTGCCTACAAGTCCTGAGCACAGAATTTCACCCTAAAACTTTAGATTTTTTTCCTTCCTCTTAAGGTACTTCAAAGAAATATGCTAATATAATTCCTGAGCACTTCTGACTTTCCATTCTTCATCTACACACTACCTGTAGAGTCTAATCTTTTCCAGCCCAGGGCCTGATGTTGTATCTTTCTGTAGAGAGCCTAGCAAACATGTGAATCAAAGCCACAAAACACAGACCACGTGAAATTAAACGTTCTGTGGTGCAGGAAGATGACTGAGACTTTGCTGTAAAAAGTTGTCTTTATGCACAAAAGCAAGTATTTTATCTGAATAAAAATTATTTCAATGCTAACAAAAAATACCATTTGTATAAAACCTGAATTTCAAAATGAGTCTGAAGAGACCTAGTCCTATGATATCACAGTCCACAATATATGCTAAACTGTCTCTCTGTTGCCACAAAAACAGGATATTTAAGTTATATCTTGATTTACGATATTTTAACCAATATAAGCTGTTCCACACTCATATTCTAGTGATGTGTATCTCAGTACTATCTTTTCTATTTAAAATTTCTCTTGAAAATTCCTGAGCTGCTTAGAAATTTACTAAGGAGACAGAGAAAGGAAAGCTTGTAGGAGCAGATCTACAAAGAACTTTTCTGTAGTTCCCTTAAAGTATAACACAACAGATATTTTTCCTGATTTCAAAATTACGCATGTAAATCCATTTAAAAAGAAACATATTCAGAAAACACTTACCAATTTTTGGAATTAAATTATTCTGAAGATAGAGAATTTTTAAATCTCGACACCATTTGTCAAGATACTCTATCTGATGTAAAGAGATTTCTTCCAGTGAAAAAATTTCACAGTTGTTATGTTCTGCACGTCTTCTAACAAGATCTTCAGTAACTGAAAGAAACATTAGATGATGTCATATCTCCCTTTAGTCATTTTCTGCCATCTGACTTATGAACAACTTATAAAATCATTAAAATCTTTTGTTCCCCCATACCAAATACATATCCGGTAGGAACACCAACAAAAATAAAATCTGCTAGAAAAGACATCAAGTGCCAAATAACTTCAGCCTGCTCTGCCATAGTAAACATCATTTGTGAAACACACTCACGTCTCACGTAACATTTAGAAAAATCCATATGAAAACTGCTGAGTCTTTCATAAGAGTGTGATACAACCCTTGCAGAAATTAATCCAGCATCCATTATTTTCAGCATAGCTCGGGTTGCAGATTGGTTCATACAGACAAGCAATGGAGTGTTTTATGAGCTTTTATTTCCTGATGCCAGATGTTCACAAAAAGTAAACTAGCTACAGTGCGCCATCATATTCTTCTGCCAGCACAGTGTGCACAGAAATAAGCAGGATGAATGCTGAAAGAAGGCAGATATTTTTTAGTCTTTCAGTGTTTGAGGCAAAGCCATAACTAATTCATGCTTATAAATGTTTATGTTAGAATGAAATTTAATCTTGGGTATTTCTTAAGCACTACCAGCTCATTAGCAGCCAGCAAAGGAGTTTCAGTGGCCGAGAGACAGCAGAGACCTGGGTTCAGAGTTCTCACATAGTAATATTTAATGCCAGGCAATCTTTCAAACAGTGAAAAGGCTCTGTATAATGAAGGTAAAGAAATTCTATGAGAACCAGTGCTCGCTCTTGAGCTAGATGTTATTACTTTGTTTCCAGCCCACTGCACCAAAAAAGCACTAGCATTTTCTTCTCCTTGACAAGCAGTGAATTACAGTGAAGTACTGATTAAAAAACTAGGGTTTTATCAAATTAGCATAGGTATTTTCATGATTATTAATGCCAAAAAAAGACTAGCAAGCCTTTCAAAAAGACTCTGAAGAAAAATAAGTAAAAAGAAAAAATATAAATAGAGAGATCTATGAAAATGAATTGTTCCTACCATGCACTAATTAAAAGTATTCTTTCACTGCTTCTTTGTCTCAGGGAGGTTTTGTGAAATCATCCGGTTTTATTAGTGGCCCTGGAATGGCTGCACGCATTCACACAGACTGGTCTGCTACAAGCTGGCTAAACTATGTACCAATACAGCCCAAACTCACACGTGTCAGTGCAGCTCCTCTATCTACAGCCTTTGGGAAAGAGGTGAAACTGGTTTTGCGTATATTATATTATTTACAAATGACCAGGGTTAAATCTCCCTTCTGTTCAACAGTTTCATCTGGCATGATTTACACAATTATATAATTCTGATACTGATATTGATGTAAGAGGGCATCCTGTCTTCACATAAAGCATATTGTGAAAGGTGTCTTTTTCTTTTTTAATTGTGTTGCGCAGATTTGCTGCATCTTCTCTTTAACAGCCCATTGATTAAACCTGATTAAATTAATAGAGAAAACAGAAAAAAAAATTACAATAATTGTGACTAAATATTTCAGTCTTCACAGAAAATATAAAAAAAAATTAGCATTTCTAATAAGTTACTTGGCAAATCTGCTGGAAATTAAAAAGAAAAAAAATGGCCTTATGTGTTTGGTGGCAGATCTTTCAGTGCCAGTACTTCCAGTGCAAACAGGTATTTTTGAACAAGAAAACAACAATATTCCACAATCTGCATACATACACATTGGAGACATTATGCTTTATACCCTTTATACAAAAAGAAGTCATACAAACAATTCTGGACAGAGTTTTATGACAGATTTCCCTTTGCTGAAGAAAAGAAAATTGAAGCGATTGTTGCAGTGATTATGCAAAAATGTCCACTTTCATTACCAGATGGTTTGCAAAGCAGAGACAATCATTCCCAATAGAAGCTACAGTGGAGCTTTAGAGACCTATTTTGGGGACCTGCTGTAGGGAACTGAGAGAGTATTTGACATTTTGTATGCTATCTAGTTCATTTAAGAGGAACCAGGGAAACAAACTTGCAAGAGAAAACAACAAATTTTAAATAAAAGCTTTCGCAGGACAATGACAAAACACATTGTAGCATTACTTCTCACTGAGAAGTTCATTAAGCAGGTTATCTGATGTTGTCCACAGTAATAGGAGAATGGACCAGCAATCTGAGAGATCACAGCTACTCCCGTGTGCCCGTGAACACAGGAGGAAGTAAGGGATGGCATCAATCAACTGGAGGTAACAACAGATCTTGAAGACCTTACAGCTGGGCTTCCAAAAATTACATGTTTTACTCAAAAAGGAGCAGAGACGAAGGAAAGCATTAAAGAAATGGAAAGAACAAGCAGGTGGACAGCTGCAGGTATATCAAGAAACAGTGGGGGAACCTGCATTTCAGAAAAGCGAAGTATGCAACCATTATTTTAAAACTTAAATTCATGCCATGCTGTTCAGGAGATGAAGCCATTCTCCTTCAGGCAGTGCTGATCAAAGCGGGCAGCTGACGGCTTCATGGAGAGAGAAGGAGTTCCTTTCCAAAGCACTCTTTTAGCCCAGCAAGGGACTGGCAGTCCAGCGACGGTATAAAATCAAAGCACATCACAGGGAAAATCACAGAGGAAGGGAATTCTTCAGTAGCTTTTTTCCTGAGTGATATGTATCAGAAACTCAGTCTTTCAGGTCATACCGCTTTACCTCTAAAAGATTATGGATTTATAAGTAATAGTATGGTGTATTTTAACCTAATTCAGGGGTTTTTTTACATCTCTGATAAAGCATCTGCATTGGCTACTTCTACCTAAAAAAAGAAATTATCACGTGGTGTTGAAAATGTATAACTGCAGGGAAAGGACAGCGCTGACAGCTCCCGGCCCAGACACCGGCCATCCCGCCAAGCATCTCCCCTTGCGGGGGCTGCCCCACACACCGAGGGGTCCCTGCCTGGGCCACCCTGCTGCTGGGCCTCTCGGGGGCTGTTTTGGGAGGCAAGCGCACCCCTGTGCTATGCTTGGTGAAATAAAATGGGTTGTTATTCCCAGGGAGGAGGGAGACCAGATAATCCACCCAGGCAGGGAGAGCAAGGGAGGCAGGAGAGGAGAGGGCTGCCAAGGGGTGTGGGGGATGGCGGGCAAGGGGGGAAAGCGTGGGGAGAGGGAACATGGGAGAGGGTGTGGGGCACGTCGCGGGGAGGAGGGAAGGGGCCCCGAGGAGGGGAGGAAAGCGGCCCTCGGCGACACTCACTCCGCACCATGGCCGCCCTCAGCTTCCCGCCGTCGCCGCCATTACAGGACGCTGCCGTGCTGCCATGGCAACGGGGCCGGGCGGGAGGCCGCCGGCCGGGCGGCTGCTGCGCTTGTGTGCCTGCCCCAGAGGCAAAATGGCTTTTGTGTAATCCAGAAGTAAGATTTCTACTACTCTGGCTGCTCCTGACCCCTTTCTTTGGCTGGGCAATCACATATGAAATGCCTCTTCCTCAGATATGTATCTTTTGTCCATCCTTTGTGTGATACTTTTGTCCTCCTCCTGCGTATTCATTAACTAGTTTGCCTAACGCATTTTGGGCTGAAAGCATGTTTTCCATTGTCTATGGAAGCAGCCTGTTCCCGTCATTCATAGAATCACAGAATCATTTAGGTTGGAAAAGACCCTTAAGATCATTGAGCCCAGCTGTTAACCCAGCACTACCAAGTCCACCACTAAATCATGTCCCTAAGCACCACGTCTACCCATCTTTTAAATACCTCCAGGGATGGGGACTCAACCACTTCTCTGGGCAGCCTAAACCTTCCCTGGCGCAGCTTGAGGCCATTGCCTCTTGTCCTATCGCTTGTTACTAGGGAGAAGAGACTGACCCCCACCTGGCTACAACCTCCTTTCAGGTAGTTGTAGAGAGCAATAAGGTCTCCCCTCAGCCTCCTCTTCTCCAGACTAAACAACCCCAGCTCCCTCAGCCGCTCCTCATAAGACTTGTGCTCCAGACCCTTCACCAGCTTTGTTGCCCTTCTCTGGACACGCTCCAGCACCTCGATGTCCTTCTTGGAGTGAGGGGCCCAAAACTGAACACAGTACTCGGGGTGCAGCCTCACCAGTGCCCAGTACAGGAGGACAATTGCTTCCCTGGTCCTGCTGGTCACACTATTCCTGATACAAGCCAGGATGCTATCGGCCTTCTTGGCCACCTGGGCACACTGCTGGCTCATATTCAGCCGGCTTTCAACAAACACTCCCAGGTCCTTTCAAGGACATTTCCTCACAGGGAATGCTCCTGTCCCCCACCTTTTACCTGGGAGATTCTCCAGCAGGTTGCCTCCTCGAAATATGTCTTACAACTATATTTAACTCATAGATCAGGTCAAACAGCAGCATGAAATTTGTTGTGCTGTGGACATGGATATTATGTCCTCCTGCAGGTTTCTGTGGACTCCCTCCTGCCATTACTGTACTATAACTTCACTCTCGGTGAAGGTGCCTTCTAACAAAGCTAATGAGTAAGAGTTATGGCTGGAGGCCTCAGGCAACTGCTCAGACAGCTACAGGAATTCTCATGTCTGACATTTTCTATTTTGCAGTTAATATAATGATGTAGCATTACTTCACATACTTGATTAACTTCCCAACTGGCCAAGTTATGGCACCCTAAACCTCAAAGAAACTGGATGGGACTACACATCTCAAGACATCACTAATGGGCTTTACAGAGTCCTTCGTCTTATCCTGATCTGGTGGCCACCAGTTTGAGTTCAGTCCAATTCAGCAGAGAGAGAAGTATTCTGACATAATGTACAATTGATCGCAGTAAGTTTTTTTCATACTTAGATTTAAGCTCATATCTCCTTCTTTGTAAGTTCATACATATATTTGTAAATGATCAAATTAATTTAAGTCAGTCATTTACCTCTGATGTAATACATGGAACTCCCCACAGCTACTCCGCAATTTTCTAACTGTATTGCTATTTAGACAATAGGAGAAAGGAGGTGTCATTGAGTTAAAGCTACTAGGTTTTGTGGAGATAATGAGGCACAAAGGAGCAGAAATAGTTAATGCACGTTAGTTTAACTCCCTAGTACTTGTCCTGGTCTGTCTGACTGGATAAGAAACAAATCCAGGCTGAGGACAGGGATGTTTACACAGCTGGTTGTATGGCACCACCATGTGACCCATGGCCACTCTACAGAGCCACAGAGATTAAAGAAGGACCACTGGCAAGGCCTTCCACTACCTACCCATTTATTTCATATTAAATTGCTGGCCCCTTCAAATAATGACTTTTATAGCTGCACCTTTTCCTAGGACTATTATTTTTTTTACTTGAGAGCATAGCTCTTAGTCAAGGTAATCAATTTCAAGAAGAAGAAGAAAAAAACTCTTGTTCTTGCTGTGTCCACTATTTTAAATGCTGTGTCTACATTGTATTGCACAGAAATACCTACGTTACTTCATTATGCTAAAAACATGGGGTTTTTTATCCATTTTGCAGAGATTCTATATAATAGTTCTGAAGAAAGAAATATACAATTCACAATTCATTACATTGCAATATACTAAGGTGTGGTGTGTTGACCTTGGCTAGCTGCCAGGTGCCCACCAAACCACTCTCTCACTCCCCCTCCTCAACAGGACAGAGGGAGAAAATACAATTAAAAGCTTATGGATCGAGATAAGGACAGGGAGATCACACAGTAATTACCATCATGGGCAAAACAGACTTAGGGAAATTAATTTAATTTATTGCCAATTAAACACAGTAGGATAATGAGAAATAATAACAAATCTAAAACCACCTTCCTTTCACCCCTCCCTTCTTCCTGGCTCAACTTCACTCCAAACCCTTGTACTTGTATGTCCTGATTTAAACCACAGTTTGTTACAATCAGTATATATGTAGGTCCTGGTTTGCCAAATTTAGTCAAGCTGTAGGACTACTTGTTTGAGCAGGTAACTTCTCACTTGTGATGAGCATAAAAGAGGTATTCTCAGTGACTGAAAAGCTCTCAGAGAGTGTTTTCCTCTTGTGAAGGACAGCTTTGTTTATGACTCAGGGCTAAGCTATTCAGGAAATCAGAAAGCAGCGTTTTGGAGTGTGCGATTGCAACACGCTAGTCCTAACCTGGTGGCTTAGCACACATGGGCAAAGCTAGACGCTGAGGTAGGATAAGCACACAGGTTTCTTGTCCTTAAAACTGCAGGCTCTTCAGAATGAGGTTTATAATCCGAGACCTTGATTTTATTGGGAATAACGGCATAGTAACGAAGTGTAACATACCATCCTTGAGTATCTGAGGTATTGTGCTAAGACCCTTGGATGCTCAAAACATGAGACTGCCATTGCAGTATGGCTCTCCAGGTTGTGCCTTCTTGTTTCTGACTTCCAATATACTGAACTCAAACGCTAAGAGGTCTGCCAGATTGCCTTGTTGCCCTTGGGATACACTGAACTCCTGAACCCTGACACAGTTTCAGAAATGAACAATATCCTTGTTGACCACATAAAAATTCAGATAAGCCCAAATGTTTTTATTCTTAGCGGCATTTTAGATTTTACATACAGAAGAATTTTCTGCTGTATGAAAAGTGAAAGAATTGTAATTCATAAATCCAGCACATACATACACACTTGCAGCATGTAGGCCTATGCATGAGCTGCGCTTACAATATGCTTCACGCAACAAAATGTTTGCAGCCCGTACAACATCAACACAATATACATATACAAAATCTAATGTAACTTGCAGGTACGGTGTTGTATAACTTCTCAAGAGACTTTTGCACTCATTTATTTTCAAACAAAATACACATATTTACACACGTTGACCTTATTGTGTTCATTATTTTCATGCAGCTATTTTTCACTCAAATTATGTACTAAGATCTTTAAGTAGCACAAGCCCGATTTCTCAGCATGAAGCAATGTACATGACAGATAATGTCATAAGCCACATTATAAACAGGAGAATGGAGTTGAGGAAGAAGAAAAAGGGTCCCATCTGGCATGCCTTCCCTGAAGAAACTCGCTTCACCGCTTTAATACATTACAAGTTTATTTGTTAAATGCGTAAAACAAGGCAATACAAAATATATTTCTATGTCATGACAAAAATAAGCTTTATAGCATTATTATTATAGTGCATCAGAAGTATTTTGAATATGTGTTCACTTCATCAGTATATACTCATGTAAGGTGCTACAGCCCTAGCAAATTGATGTCCATGGACAAACCAGCTCTTAAAATGCTGCAGGTCAGAGTCTTAGCTGGTGGAAATCAGCTGATTGATACCCACTCAGAATCTGAACCTGTGTCTTTCTATTTATTTCCTATTAAACTATTATCATTGGTTTTGTTGTTGATTAATTATTATTATATGGTGGTAACAGTTACTTAGTAACTGTAACAAAATGAGGCTTTCATTTTTCACACCAAAGTACCAATAAATCCTGTCCCAAAGAGCACACAATCTACAGGGCAGGACATAAGCTCACAAATAACAAATTCATTGGAATATATGCAGTTCCTAATAATAATCTTCATTATTGACAACACCCTGAAATACAGGAAGAAATGCAAACAGGAACAACTTTCCTGATATGTAAATGCCAGAGATAAGGAAAAACAAAAAGCAGCATGAGAAACTGTAAAAAAGAAATAATATAAAATGAAGTAACAGTTTTGCTCGGTGTATATTAAAATGTACAAAGAGGTTTACAAAGCACTGCAGCTAATTCACAAAAGAAAAAAAAAAAAACCATCAAAGAGCAGATTCTGCAAAACTGGACTAAATGGCCATACCTGTGTTCTGTACCAGTGTGGTTTATTCCCTGTCACTGAACTCAAAGATGTTAATCTTTGTATCGTTTGGCTTCTGTGAATAATTCTTCCAGGATAAATACAAAACAGATTTGCTCACAACTAGGAACAATATAAGCTAAGGGCTGCCATAAATATTATCATCGTGCTTGCTACTGTTCCCTTCATCACGAACGTTCACACCATGAAGCGCTATGTGATATATGCTCAAGAATGGCCCTGAAATTCAGCTGAACGCAGCAAGAAATGGGAGAGTATAATACAAGGTGTAATGACAACAAAATAATAGTAATGGAAGGTATGAGATAATGTACAGGGGGTTATAAATCCATATCTTGAAATTCTTCTTTGATCGTCTTTTTCTAAATAAGGTGCTATATTAAAGTGAAGTAAAAGTTTTATCACTGGGGACAGAAACAAAAAATTCTAGTAGTCCTCTCTGTTTGTAGATGCATCAGTTAATCATTAATCAACAAGTGGTTTTACTTTGCTAGAATTAGAGTTCATAATTATCCTAAGCTTGATACTCTAGTTAACAGAAGCTGCAAATACTAATTGCCTCTGAAAGTCTGGATTTCAATATTTAGGTTAGAAGATGTTGTCTTCAATTTTTCATCAGACAGATCCTGCCTTCAATTTTTCGTCCAACAGGACTGAACATATTATTGTGCCTCTTTTCAGAGAAACAATACAAGGCTTGCTTTTACATCCAGTGGAATATATGGAAGGCAACTGCCAAAGCCAACCAGTCTGGTAACTGAATAGAACCTTGCTAATTCAGCATTAATGAATATCACGGAGGGCAGATTTTAACAGATCCCAAGTATCTTACTTTTAGCCCTTGAATTCCAATTGCCAAGTTGTCCCAGAACTTCCCCCTCTCCAGATCAGAACAATTGTAATTTACGGTTTATATTTATTCATAGACAGATAATAGCAATTCATTTTAGACAAAATTTTTGGCAAGCTGAATCAGCTTTTTCTTCACTTTACAGTGAACTAACTAGTTTACAGTGAACTCAAGTTTTTCTAGTTTTCAGCATAATCGCTCTGATGACTGCAGGGTAATTGCAGTCTTAGACTTTTCTCTCAGTATAGGATTTCGTTTTCCAGATTATTCTTCCAGGGTATTATTTAAACACTAAAGATTTTTATAATCCTTTAGTTTAAAAAGTGCATTTTGTAAAGGACCTGTTATAACTATCAATAAAATAGGTAACACAAAATATTTATACATATTACCCAATGATATTTACTCTCCGTTGTCTCCCTAGTTAAAGTAAATAAAGAAGCAGAATTATTTAACACTGACAAAATCGTTCAAGTGTATTAACTACAAGTAAATATGAGGATGAGTACTATAACTACTAGATTAATTACATAATTCATCAGTTTTATGAAGAAGAACAGTCTATTGCTGCCATTTATTGAAACTTTAAAACCTGGTCTTGTTACATCAGGTGGTCTGTCTTCACATAAAGCCAATTTAATGCACTGCGCAAAAGTAAATTACTGTGCAAAACTGGTAATTTGGGTGAAATTTCCCTCTTGGAGCTCTTAATGCTGAGCTAATGATGCTTATCTTCAAAATATAACCAGCATATATTTAAATTTTGAAAAGGTATATTTTAACTTAATTTCGAGTACCCTGTTCCTCACTGCATCACCTGTGCAGATTTCTGATGCAAGAAATAAAGCTGTAACCTGCTTGAGCTTGGCTTAGACACAGAGTTGGACAGACAGTGCTGTTTCAGTTTTATTGATTCTTTCTTCCACCAGAACTTTTCATTTGCGCGCTTTTGCTGCAGTTTTCAAAACCCTGTCATTATGCCTGCCAGCCTGACTGTACCCCATGGGCAGACCTAGCCCTTCCGCAGGCAGCATTTCATGTCCGAGTTCCCAGCTGGGGCTGTGCTAGCATTGCTTTTAGCACAACAGGGGACAAGTAGACTAGAAGCAGCACTAGTTATAGAATGATTTGGTGGGCAATAGCATCCTCACTCATCACCATCATTTTGTTGCACGGGAAGATGAAATCCATGCTGTCCTAGCTAAACTGGCACACAGGGAGATGTTTTAAGAAGGAGATTATTAAAAGCTCGGAGTCACAAGATAACAGTTTCTTGTTACCCACAGGTTCTATGTGTAATTTAGTCTCTGTTGTAACAAAAATCCAAGCTGAAAAATAGGGCTTAGTGTTTCCAAAGGATATACCTGCAGGTCTCGTATTTTTGTACGTGAATCCGGGTAATTCAGATTCATCATTGCTTCTCCACATCCTGATTCCTGGTTTTCTGAAGAGTGCTTTCCTTCCAATAAGATTTCTTTCTTCCTTTTTTTCCTCTTTTCTTAATGCGCAGCATAAAGGCCAAAAGGCAGTGCACACACATGATACAATAAAGCTTCTGAAATGTATTACCACATGTAATCAGCCACTATCCAAATCCATTATTTTTGACAGCATGTTACAAGAAATTAATATATAAAGTATTGGAAGACATCAGCTGTTTACCAAAAACTGAATGGGAATTGCAAAACACTATTTACCATCAATTTCCTATCGAAATTGTAGGTAGCACAGGCTTGTAGGACCCTGTGCTTGTAGGACTTCATTGATGCAAGAGGCTAGAGGTACAGCAATCATTTTGCGTGACTGTTTTCAGATAGTCACCAATAAGTATGGCCTCACCCACAGTCTGACCAGAATAAAAATAAAGCTAAAATGAAGGAAGAATTTTGAAGGAAGAATACTAACAATTCTGTTATTTTTTTCCACAGTAACCTGTGTAATGATAGCCATAAGGAGGTATCCAGTAGTTTGAAGCTGAAGAGCTAAGGAAAATAAATTTGAGGAGGAGGAAAAATGAAAACTGTTAGTGAACTCATTTTGAAATCTACAGAAGTAACTGCTCTGCCTGTAAGTGTTTGCAAAAGGCAAGAGGCAAGCTTGCTTTGAAATGCTGGAGGTCCTGTCTCGCAGTAACCTGTGCCAGTCTGTATTTGGTTTACTCCTGCTAGGCAACAAGTCCCAAGTTCTCCACTCCCTCCTGTAGTACCTGCTTTTGGTTAATATTGATACTGGCTTTCAAAAGCAGAGCCAGCTTTAAAGCTCTGGTGTTGCAGCCCGTACATAAACAATCCCACTGGCTTTAAGAAGTGCCATATCTAGCGTCCACTGCTTGGCATACTGGATGAGTAGGTTGTATTTTTCATCATAAGCTTTAGTAAATCTGCAAAGTGATCGAATGCCTGCATACCATTCTAAAATGCTTTGTTCTCCAGATGAATATCCTCTTTCTGAGGGCTGACTGAAAGGTTTTCCAGGTTGCATCTGCAGCTGTGCAGTTGCCTTTAGATCTCAGAAGCTGAACTGCACTCAACCAGCGAACTGATGAACAAGGCTGTTTTATCCACACTATAAGGAACACAAACCCGGGCACAGATCCGCTTAGTTCCTTCTTTTCATTTTTATGTTTTCAAAGTAATGAGATAAAGGAAATAACAGAGCCAAGACTGGAATGGCCAGCTCCAAGTACAAATAAATCAGTGCTCTTGTTTTAAGGGTTCTGAGTTGTACCAAGACTTAGAAATGCTTGATAAACAGAAACTGCAGACTTAGGATGAGGCTTGACTGAAAAAGAATAGGGAAAGGAAGAATCTATAAATGTTTTCCAGATATAACATATACATGTTGATGTTGCATCACTCCTTCAGTGGAATGGTACCAAGTTAGAGCAGCACAGCACCTGGCCCTACTGTTCAGTTTAAACTTGGAAAAAGGAAGAATTGCTTTGCCCGTTACTGAAAAACATGTTTTCTCTGGGCTGAAGCACAGCACTTGTTTAACAGCTTACACTATTCAGCAACTGTTGTCAAACAATAAAAAAAATATTTCATCCAAATAAAATGAAAAAGGAGTTTTAGACAGCAAAGTGGAGTAATTCGCAATGGAAACTGGCAAGCGTCCTGCAACTAAACCTTCTTTTAATGAAAAGTCCAGGGAACTTTTCTGGCATGCTTAAACCCTTTTTCATAATACGGCTTACCCCAAAAAGTATGGAATTCTTTCTAAACTTAAACATATACTCACCAATTATTATTTCTTTCCAATTATTTCCTGGGGGAAAAAAATAAAGCATACATTTTTGTATGTCTTGATTTAAACCACAGTTTGTTATAATCAGTATATATGTAGGTCCTGGTTTGCCAAATTTAGTCAAGCTGTAGGACTACTTGTCTGAGCAGGTAACTTCTCACTTGTGATGAGCATAAAAGAGGTATTGTCTGTATACCAGTGACTGAAAAGCTCTCAGAGAGTGTTTTCCTCTTGTGAAGAACAGCTTTGTTTATGACTCAGGGCTAAGCTATTCAGGAAGTCAGAAAGCAGCGTTTTGGAGCGTGTGTTCGCAATATGCTAGTCCTAACCTGGTGGCCTTGATGTTATTGGGATGAATGACATAGTAACGAAGTGTAACATACCATCCTTGAGTATCTGAGGTATTGTGCTAAGACCCTTGGATGCTCAAAACATGAGACTGCCATTGCAGTATGGCTCTCCAGGTTGTGCCTTCTTGTTTCTGACTTCCAATATACTCAACTCAAACGCTAAGAGGTCTGCCAGATTGCCTTGTTGCCCTTGGGATACACTGAACTCCTGAACCCTGACACAGTTTCAGAAATGAACAATATCCTTGTTGACCACATAAAAATTCAGATAAGCCCAAATGTTTTTAGATTTAGCAGCATTTTAGATTTTACATACAGAAGAATTTTCTGCTGTATAAAAAGTGAAAGAATTGTAATTCATAAATCCAACACTTACATACATGTTTGCAGCATGTATGAGCTTGCTCCAAAGATATAATTCAGACCTTCTAAATATGTAGGTCTTTTTCTCCAGAAGGATTTAGAAGCTAGAGCTCTGTGCAAAACTTCAACATAAAGCACTCTGAAACAGCAACATCAGCACCTTTATTCAACTGATCAGGCTGATTTAATACTTCTTTCTAAGACATTTATCAGACTACAGTGTAAGACAAAGGCAAAGCTCTGTCCTGAACCTAATGGTGAATTGGGTTAGTGGGGCCAAGTCATATCAATTCTGTAATCCCTAGAAGGTGGTGATGAGGCTAGGATCATAGTTAGCTGGTTTTATTTTTTCCAGTTAAAAAAAAGGCTCGGTTCAGTGGCTTGGGAGTGGACCTCAGTGCAAGGCTTGAAAGCACACCTCTGGATTCATAATAAGGTACTATCTTTCGTCTGTCTCTGCATCTTCATGTTATGGCATATTAGGTTTATCTTCCCTTTCTGCTAACAAATAGGTGTTGCAACATTTATTGCACATTATGAAAAGGCAGTTTTTGAAAATAAACAGAAAGTTTCTATGAATACAAATCAGTAACAGGAAAAGCCAAATCCTCCATCGTTAACTTCAGATCATGCCTTCTATCTTTTAACACGAAAACAATAGAAGGAATCTCTCCTTCCTTTTCTTAATATAAAATTTCTAAATTCCTCTGTTCATCACACGACACTGGAGTCACTTACCAAAACTTAGTTGTTTTGAAAGATGTGTGAAGACTGAAGAAAGATGACACAGCACCATCTTGGGACAAAAGAACTGTGAAATTCAAATGCAAAATCCTGTAGCTGATTGAAGGTTACATTCTGTCCCCATATGCCCACATATTGCTCTTATTAGCATCAATAAGAGCTGTGGATATACACCCAAGGATGGATTTTGGTCCTCAGATGTGACTTAGTAAAATCTTGTGTGTTGAATATAAAGAAAGTCTGTACTTACAAACTAAAATTAGCAGCAACAAACTGGCAGACAATCCTCCCAGAAAATATCTGAGAACATAACAATACCCATAAAGGTTAGAAAAAATCAAGGGATGCATATTGGGTTAATAGAGGTGAAGCCTGGGTGGGAGGAGGAGAGAAGGTTCTTCCATGTGAACCCTCTGATCTCTGGTAGGTGAACTGCAATTTGAAACTTTAAATTACTTAAGCTATTGAGGATAATCTCCTAGAAAGAAAGACCTCAGCATTCCCAGACTGAGCGAAACACTCATAGTGGTCACTTAGAAAGACGTAGATCCATTCCGATTCTTCTCAGCCTTTTAAAACCCTTGTCCAAGCACACTTGACAAAGTAGTTTTCATATCTGCATACATATTTCTTATTTTTGTGCATATCTATATAGCTCAGATATTTGCCTGCATTGACTATTATGTGAATAATAAGTAAGATACATCTAACTTCTAAATGTGACCCTTAATTTATGTTTTATTCACTAGTAGAAATGGAGTAAATATTAATATCAGAAACAAAAAATAAAAGAAATAAAAATTACCTTGTACACGTTGAAATGATTAAACATGTGATCAGAGCAACCGTCTGAAAAAGGACATTTCGCACTGCCCTGGATTCTAAAACAAAAATCAGGAAAATAATTTTCATGAGTTTTCAGGAAAGTAAATATATGACAGGAGGTGTTTGCAAAGACTACCTTCAGCCTGTGAGGCCAGACTCTTCAGTTTCTTTTTAAGAGAATTCGCCTAGAGTGATTCAAAGCGGAAACCTAATTTCCATGCTCCGGGTGTCTCTCAGGAGTCTTTTTCCCCCACGACCATAAAGACACTGTGCCCTCCATGCTCTTAGAAAACAAGCCTTTCTGAATAATTGCCTGTTTCAGTTTTTGTTCCCATGCCCTTTCCTCCATTTTCCCCTTCACTTCACTTTTTTCTTTTTCCACTTATCACTGAAAATAGGAGAGGAAAAGATGTGAGCAGGGAGGAGTAAACAAGTAAATACCAATTTTAAGATTTTGTTATTTTTAATCAGGCATTTTAAATGTATGTTTCAGGAAATAAATTTTATTCTGCAAGAGGCCATATCAGTATTTTTAATGTGAGTATTTTCAATGTAAGTATTTTCAGTTCACCCTAAAAATGAGGCATATCAGAATAAGAATATAACATACCTGCATTGCTCAAAGTCTCTTCATTTGCATTTATCATAAATGGAGAGCAGGATTTTGAAGCACAAAATGGTTTCTCAGGCTGAAGAAACTCGTCATTTTTGGTGAGAGAGGCTCCATTAGATGCTGGAGTTTGCCTTTGTGCCACATGGCTATTATATTCAGAAGAAAAGTCTGAATGACCTACAAAAAGTATATATGTAACTGAGATTGCACAAAAGAGCTTTGAGACTTTGTGTTAACAAATTTTGTGGGGGGAAAAAATAATTACTTAATCACAGGGAGGTTTCCAAATTGTTAGAAGTAGGGAATTGGCAGGTTCTATGTATGCAGGAGAAAATATGCAGAGTAAAGACAAAACTGCATAGAGCGTAACACAAGGAAGTTATTAAAACAGCCAGGTGAAAGCAGACAGTGCCAGATATTAATGACACCAGCATAAACATCACTGGTGATGACTTCGGATTCAAATTCAGTCTAAAAACGCCTTTTTGGCACAAGGGTCTTTGTGGACTCATACTCTTCTTAATGCCAGGAGCTCAATTCACCACTTACTTACAATTCTGTTGTTCATCTATCCTTTACCTGCACATCTTGGCAGACAACCCCTGCAAAACCTATAGAAAAAGATACCCAAGTCCTACTAAATATAGACCGTAATGTTGTAGCTCGATTACTTGGTACCTGGTCAGGGCTTACCAATATCACTCTGACTGGCTTCTAGTTTATTGCATCCATCAGGCCAAGGATCATCTACATGGGAGGAATCCATATTGCTGAGGACGGTGCTGCTGAGCCATGAACTGGAGGCACCGAGATTGAACAAGCTGGCAAGAGAGCGACGGATTTTCTTCCTTCGCCTGAATACGCTAGAAAGAAAAGACACGTTGTCAAGGAATAGAGTTAATTATTCTTGTTGAGCAGGGACAGAGCTCTAGAGCTTGCAGGACTGACATGAAGGAACCAGGTCCTGGGCGCTGTTCCTAGCTCTGTTCTTGACCCCTGGGTATGTCACCAAGAATGATGCTGCACACTGCAATAATGTCAGGGAATGTATTAGCAGCATGGCAATATATCATGCATTGTGATACTGGGTATTGAGATACCAAATGATACTACAGTTATCGGGCTCTGATGCTACCGTGAGTGGTCTCATGCTACCTATGAGTTTCACCCTACCGTATCCCATTCGGTGCAGCCTGAATCCACTGTACTTCAACTTTTTTGAACTACATTTTATATACCTTCCTAAACTGATGTTCTTCTGAAATCAAGAGAGATTTTTCCCTGAGTAAGAATTCCAGGACCAGACCTTTTTATTTTTATATATATATGAATATATATATCTACACACACACACACACTTTTTTCTTATTCCTTATCATGGTAACACCCCATTGGCAAAAAGAGCCATAGCTCTCCTTTTCTTTATTGCACACAACTCCAATTACAGCAACAACTGTGTACTGAAGAGTTTTTGGGTAGGAAGATTAGACATGACTGAAAATCAAGTTATTTCAATCACTGCGCTCTCTAAACTAAATCAATTGAGATGTTCCCATTAAGAAGCAATGCTGATCTTATGCCAAGCAAAATGTAGACAGCCACACAGATACCTCCAGATAATCCAGAGATGTGGAGGCAATTGCCAACATTGAGTAAAATCTGCATATAGTTCACTTACCGAACTAAATTCTCTTTATATGTAACGCTTGTCTGGGATGGTGTCAGTGTTATGTTGCCCTCTTCATCAGACAGAAAACTATCTTCTGTCAAAATGTAATAACCATTAGAAAGCAGTCGAGGGCTGCGGCGACATGTGGAAAGGGAGCCTGTCAGAGGATTTGCGGAACAACACTCATAGGCAGGGTCATCATCCAAAAAGGCACAAGCATAACTGAAAAGGAGAAATGAAACCCTCTAATTTAGTGAACGTCTAGACATTGCAAACCCATGATTTAAAAATAATGAATTTACATTACCAGCTGGTGGGCGCTGGTAATGACATAGATTTAAAATATGTGGGTATAATGATATTACTTCTGGACCTAGGGGGTTTCAGCCAGCTAGAGCGTGCCTCCATCACACTTTCCAGAGCTTCAGATTACAAGAGGGCTTCACGCCAGGTGGAGCATTTCATGAACGCATGGAGCCAGCTTGAACTGAGAAATGCATGGTGTATTTCTGTGGCAGTGCTCTTGGCCAAGGGGCCCGGCCAGATCTACCCCTATCTGGTGCTGTCAGAGGTATTCCAGTATTTTGTTTCTCTGAGTTACTCGGCATGCCGCAAGCCCAAGTGCCTTCGAACCAGGCAGGATTTATTTGCTTTTTATACCCCAGCCTTACTTAATGAAGACTTAAGGTGACATGACTTTTAATCCTCACAAATCCTAGAGTACCATACAGCTAGAACAACATGGGATAAAGTCTACACATGGTGATAACCTCATCCAGCACTGAAATATAATTGACTTTGAGATGAAATATAGCACAGAAAAATATACTATGTAGTATTTAAAATAGAAGTGAGTGGTTACAGAGATGAAAGAATCTAAATGTTGTAGACATTTAACTTGGCTCAAGTAAAATTGGATTTATGGTGAGTCCTTTCTCCTCAACACCTTTGAGTTCCAAGTGGCCATGCAGTGACATCCATGGAAAGAAAGGAAGACACTGGATTGATTCAGTGGCTGACATGGGTTTCAGTAGCAGATTTAACTATCCCATATGGCATGTCACAGAGGGATGCCATAATTTCAGTGGAGGGGAAAGGAGGTGGAACAGAGATACTCCAAAACCTTGTAATTGCAAAGCCAGTGCTTCCAATCTCCATAGCAGTACCTCTGAACTTCCATTTAAAGCAGTAATTAAATTAATATCAGCACTACAATTCTAAGTGGCTCCAAAGGGATGTTACAAAATCTCCAACAAAAAAAAATAAAATAAAACAGGTATCATTTTCATCAGTACCTTGGAAGAATACTTTGTGAGAGGCTGCGTCTATGTTCTCCATCAAATGCTGTTGAACCTGCAGAGGCAAAGGCCAAAGAAGAAGGAGTTGTTATTATATCCACTGACTGCTCAAACAGTTGTCAGGACTTCACTGACAGGTACCTTGTGCATATCAAAAAGATCATAAAAGAAGCTAAAAAAGAAACAGAAATTAAGGGAGAGATTAAAGGAGGTAAAACAGATGAGAGAATGGAGGAAAGACATAATGTTTATAGGAAACTCATCTCAACCAGGACAACACAGAATCAGAACCAACCATAATCAGATACTTGTACTCTGCACAGCTTACAACATTGAGAGAAATAATTACCGACGCAAATGCAATAGCTATAGTAATTTTAATGGTGTTTTCCCAGAAATCTGCTTCATGCCAAAAACCTACATGTACTGGGAATAGATACAGAGCAGAATGGAAGGGTCACCATTACCATTACAATATATTTTTCAGATGAAAATTGCAGACATGGCACAACAGGCATTGGGACAGCGACAGTGACAAAGATTTGACAATAATATTGTGGCAGGAGACTAAGAAAATAGGATTTGTCTGGATTACCATGGCTCAAGTCTGCAAAGTGCTGCCAGAGGTTCAGCATCTGACAGAATCAATCTTACACAATATGAGCAATGGCTCTCCATAGGGAGAATTTATATCTGTTATTACATGGAATGATAAAAGATAGGATCTCTCCCTATATAACCTTACATCTCCTATATCTTTAGAGCATCATGCTTATAACACTGTTAGCAAATGCCTGTCATTCACCTATTAAAGGAGAGAGGTCTAAGAGAATTTTATTGTAATGTTCAGTTATGAGCTGAGGCAAAGACAAAACATGAAGGTCAGTGTTTCCACTTTGGTAATCTTGTTTATCCTCATTTGGAGCTCAGTTGTCAGTCACAGCCTGGATGTGAAGGCTGACTGAGTCTTGGGACCAGGCAGGGTCACCAAAGAATGGCAGTAAAACCTTCCAGGGTATTTTTTACAAATCGGTCCTATTACCCTACTCCCATACATAGTTTCTTCTCCACTTCAAAAAAAAAAAAATAAAAAAAACAAACCAACATTTCACTTTACCGTAAGAAAATTATCCTCTAATCCTGGCAAAAACAACTTGAGGAGGAGACAAGTGGAAGAAGCTTGTTGGAGGTACAAAGAGATCAGGTAGCATCGATCAGGTTGCTACACAGCAAGTTGTACAAAAAGTGAGACTGGTGGTGTATTTCATAGACTGACATGTTGTAGACCTATTTTTTTCGTATACAATTAGCTTCTGGAATAATTTATCTTATTTTAGGCAAAATCATGATTTTTAATTGTGCAAAAATATTATATTCAAAACCAAGAAATTCATCCGAACTCTAAAAGAAAATACAAGAAGAACTCAACAGGTGGTTTGTAGATCTGGATATAAACTAAGACCTGCAAAATCCCAAATCGTATCAGTCAAACAAAATCCCCTCCACAACAGATTTTTTTTTATCAAAAGCTCTGGTGAGCATGCACAAATTTACTTGCTCTTGATGCCGATGCAACATGTGATATTCCATACATCTTGAAAAGGACTGTTTCATACACCCTGGGATAAGAGGGTATATAGATATAGATTATCTGTAAAAGAGTTTAAAAAGAAACAGAAATACGTTTTATTTTCTCTTGTTTGAAAATTAGGATGTGTAATATAGTATCATCAATATCTATCATATTATTAGTTGTAATATATTCTCGCTTAGACAGAAGTGATTGATTCTAGAGAAAATGTGTTGGAAAAGGGATGCAGAAGTATACCTCAGCATCAATTATACCTACTACAACTCCTTAATAATCTGAGAGTGAAACTTTCCAGCAACTGAAACCCATAACACAGTTGTATTGCAAGTGATTTTCTCAGTTCTGATAATATAAAGTAGCAACCACTAAAAAAGTATAACTTTTAAGAATAGTCATTTACATATGGGTAGTGCTTTCATTAGAAAGTGTTGACACATCCTGATCAAAGTGGCAGAACAAACCACAGTCCTTCTGTTACTAATTTGTCTCATAAGTTTGTAAGGTGTGTCTCTGCAGGACTCCTGTTCATCTGGCACCCTCTGCAGAAGTAAAATCTAACATAAAATACAGTATATATATATATTTATAACAGAAAGTGAGAAATATACATATGCAAATATATTACCGGGGAGGCAATGACTTTCTTTCTTTTGAAGAACAGTTAATAAGCAGTTGCAATTTGCTTTCAAACTATTTTAAGTAATGATAATGCCAAGCTTCTGTAATCAGTCATAAAACAGGCAGTCCAATGGATTTTTTTGCTACCCTTGATCACGAAAATTTTTGTCTCATGCGTTAATGAAGAGGGTTCCTGAAAATCATAATTTGATCAGTGCTGGAGAAAGCATGGAAACATCATGTTGTAGACAATGCTGCACAGAGTTTTGCTTTCATTTAATATTCAGTCCCCTTTGTGGGCTATTAATAGCATGAGAAGCTATAGTAACAATATAAGCAAGCCAAAACAAAGCATCTCAACCACCACTGGACAATGAAGCAGCAGTATTATAGCTGTAATCCACAAATTGAGCGTCAATACAGAACCTTTAAACTAAGACATGAGAAAAGGCCAACAGCTTTAAGAAATCTCACGAAAAATGAATCCGAGGTGAATGTGGCAATATTTTATGTCAAGACTTCAAATAAAAGTTTAAGGCAAGAACTCCCTTGAATTTCAAAACCCAAAAGCCCATGTCGTAATATAAACAAAAAGTCACTGTCTAAATCAGTCAGTTTTAATTACCTTTCCCTCCAAAAATCAAATTAATCTTTAAACCAATGATGCCCTCAATTGGTAGCCAGCAATCCCCTGTCCATGTTTACATTCTAAATATTTACATCAGTATGTACCAAAATATAGTGCTAACTATTAAAATAGCCGAAGCCCAAGCAACCAGTTTTATTCTGTTGTACCTACCAAACACAAGTGTCTACAAAGATAATTTTATTTGTTCACACATAACAGTCATTTTTGAAGAGCAGTCTAGTCTTTTCTCCCTGCAGGTAATGATAATAACATTCACAAAAATACAAAACTTCCTGAAGAGCAGTATAGAAATGAATCCAAAGCTTAGTTATTCCTCAGCTGGGAAATAGATTAAGAGATAAATACGTGTAAAATCTTCCAAACCTGGAAAGTCCATTTCACTATTAACACATGTATGCCAAAAAGTTTCTCATCAGCAGCACGAGAGCCTCCGAGACGTGAAGTGGAGGGTGCTCTGTCTGCAGCTTCCTGGAAGAGATTGGCCCCGGCCCTTCGGAAAGGCAGCTCTATGAAGGGCCCTGTTTCCTTTTGAAAGCAGCCCGTGCAATCAGCGGCACAGAGGCAGAATGAGGTCATGCTTCCTGTAAAGTAGCCTCACACCAGAAGCATTCATTTTGAAGAGCAAACCGAAGATTAAGATTAGCCCGATGAACGCTCTTGCAAGCTGTTGCGAAAAAGAAGATACGCTATAAATAACGTTTTACTCCGATTGTGATAGGGACAACACAGACAGAACCTTTTCTCAGAAAGAAAAGTGACACAGATTTTTGTTTCGGCTTTACTTTTCTACCTCACTCAGAAGACTTTAAAGTGGTATATCCAAATCACTCCATTTGTTGAAATACTTGTGAGCCTGATGGGCTTTGATGTAGGAAAATGATCCAGCTACCAAAAAAAATCTGTGTATAGTAACAAGACATTTTGCAAAAGCACTATTATACGGAAGATGCATTTGGTGAGACTTCAGAGTTGTTTAAGTTTCATGGTCAAAAACATTATTGCAAATATGTACCATACAATGTTAAGATAAATTCCTTTGAAAGGAGAAAGGAATAAAGCCATTTGTAAACATATTCATTGTTCCACTCTGTATGTTTCGTACTAGGTAAGGTATCAATTCATCATACCTTAAAGCATACAAAAATAAAGTCAAATCCACGTGAGAGAAATGAAGCCTGAATAAGATGTCCTGGCAATCAAAATGATTTGGCTGTAGGACTATTACACACAAAAGTAATATAAATCAGCTGCTTGACACTGAACAACTATACAACCTTAGGGAGCAAAACTTCGTCTCCAGACATATAGGTAAAATATGTTAGTAGGTATCTCTCCTGATGTCTGTATGTATCACTGACAAAAAGGAAGCATAAATCTAGTAAAATATGATTGATTTGATGTAATGATATTTTTTTTCCCCTGGAGAAGGAAAAATACTTCCACTGATAACAAAGGAATGCAAAATTCTCACCTCACACAAAAGGAAACGAAAATGGGAATCAGGCAATTAGGATGTTACAAAAGAGCTTCTGTTTGCGAGCTAAACTAAAACGAACATTTTAAGGTCCTTTTGCTCAAACGTGAAAACGCAGGGCCATGTTTGTTCTTTGCATCACTTCTTTTAATTTAGTGGAATTATGCCAATGAGGAAATTTAGTCCAACACTATTTCCATGGATGCATGGGCTTCATCACAGTAGGATTTCCCAGGCCACCCTGTCTCTCTACAGGCAATGGACATAAATTCCCAATGGTCTTTAAAACTAGGTCACCTGCTGAGGAATTTCTATACATACACTGATTTACAGCACAGGTTACTTCTTGGGAGTATTTTTGGTTTCTTTTCATATTCTTCTCAAGAGGAAGCAGTTAATTCTGAGCCTGGGCTGCTTTCTGTATAGCCTTTCTCAAAGACCAAGGACATTGGCCTTTCATGTTTGTCTATACAGTTAAAATACATTGTGTCTAGATCATATTGAGACTTAAAGGTGTTTTCTTTTTTAACCGCTACCATTCATAACTGAAACTCACTGTTCCACGAGCTTTTGATGCATAAACTTTGTGCATTAGTGAATATTTTATAGGTAGGTGCTAGCCTATAGTTTATATACAACTTTTTTTGTTACCTGTTACTCTTCAAACTGCCCACCCCACCCCAAGCCCCGTCTCAACCGTCAGATTTCAAATTCTGGGAAATGAATACACCAACAAGCTTGCTGTGCGGTAGTTTTATGTCTGTTGCATACATTACAAGTTCAACCCACAAAAGGAAGGAAATGAGAAATTACAATACTAAATACCACATATCTACCTGCTCTTCTCCCAGGCTTACTCTACTTCTGACAACACTACAAATAAAGGAGAAAGCATATTGGCAGTGGAAAACGTATTGTGCGGGGTCTGGCAGTCCAAGAGGCGTGAGGCTGGGGCAGCTCCATGTCCCAGGTCCCACCAGCATCAAGTCTGAGCATGTATACCTGGTAAGAACACGCACACAGAGAAAACATATACACCACATGTATACATATACAGCTGACAACACAGATAACAAAGACAGGCACACAGAGCACTCATGCAGACAGCACCAATGGCCTCATCCTTCTCACCTCTCTGGCTGAACAGGATGGAGGTCCACTAGTGAGAATATATAGATAGGTACACATCTGTACAAGCTGGATCCCTCTAGCAGCTGGGCTCAGACACTCAGTCTGCCCAGTAGCTGTCCCTAGATCCCAGTGTCCCCATTTGCTGCCACCTGGACATATGAGCCCTCGGGGCCACAGCTCTACTCCAGTTGCTGGTGCAGACCATCACACACACACTACAGCTGGTTGAGACTCCCCTAGTCCTGAGCAGCCCACTCCCTATAGCATCTCCCTCAGAGGCACCCCTGGCCATAATGTGTCTCGTGCCCCCAGGCAGCAACTCCCCTCAGTCCCAAAGGTGCTCTGGTATTGACTCATCTGGGTGGGCTTCATGTCTGGACACTGGGGCTCAGGGTCCTCTGGGACAGCCCTGGGAGGGGCTCAGACAGGGTGTCCCTTCCTCTGAGTCCTTAATTTGGGTTCCCACCTGCCTTTGTGCCCCTGTGCTCCTCTGGGCTGGCGCAGAAGGGCCTTTGATGAGCCTCTCCTCCTGGGAGCAACTGGGGCAGGGTATTATTTGAGGTCCCCCTCCTGCCGTTGTCTCTCTGTGGTCCTTTGTGGGAGTGCAGATGAGCTTTTAGCACATATTACACCATAAGTCTGCCATCTCAGCAACCCACTGCAACTCAATGCACTGCACCATTATGCTAAACACAATTTTCAGAAAGGGTATTTTGCCTGGTGGAGTGAATTGAGTGGCCATGGTGGAGGGAGTAGAGTGCTTATTGATTGAATGCAATTGAGAGTAATTTGGTGCTTCTATAACTCTCTTTGAACCTCCTGGAAAGCTCACAGCCTTTAGCTTTTCCACCATCTCAGTGACCATCAAATCAAGCCATTTGTCCTATATCACAGCTCTTTGCTAATTATGTTTATATAGTATTCAACAAGTAAAAAATATTCTGAGATATCTGAATATTAATTGAAACATTCAAAAAAACTAGGAGGGGAAGAGTGAGTCATGAGAACCTCAGAGCAGCCACACTGGGTCAAACCGAAGGTCTATGAAACTCTCCCTGCCTGCAGTGTTGCTGCAGGGAAAACTAAAACTCATTTTAATTCACCTTTGTGAATGATAACATTTTAAGCTAAGTGCAGTCCTTTATGCAGCAGAACCACTTAGCAATGTTTGAGGTACCCTGGTGATTAAAAAAAAAAATCTCACAAATCCAGACATTTTATTTCAATTTTAAGAAAAGGCTGATCCTGCATAAAGTCAGCATTTCATTGCAGTTTACAGAACTGACACATCATATATGATTTTAATAACCTTATCAGGTCAGCTGTATGAACAAAGATTAATTTGCTTTAAAAGAGGAACAATTTCATTTTTAATGTTATCAGATGGAAATCCCACTCCACCCTATCAGAGACTTTCTCAGTTTCAGGCTTGATTTTTTTTTTTCCCCAAGTCATTATTTTAGCTTAATTGCTCCTGCAATACAGGCAACAAAGGGCATTTCTGTTTTGCATGGTGAAGTACAATGCATAGACCTGTAAAACTCAGAATTAGCTCTGAGCTTGCTGATACACCTACACTGCTTGGATGTGAACAAGAGCTTACCTGTAATAATGCTATGTCAGCTACCTCTGTATTATGCTACACACACAATCCAGATGATAGACAAAAAGTGTTTAGAAAGGATCTAAATCAAGCAAACCTGCGATGCACAATGATACTTCTCTGTGCAAAGCCATGACCAGTCTGTGTTTCATCTCTTTGCTCTTTGATTATATGGTACCAGAAGGAAATCTGGTTGGTATATAACTTGATGTAGACAAGGGAACATGCTCAAGAGGAATTTTGTACAATGTCACATTGATATATAAGAGCAGTGGAAAAGCATACATGGGGAAAAGAAGTGCTTCCATTAGAATCTGCAACTCCCCCACCTTGCATAAAAAAAATACTGCTCCTTTAAAAACTATTTTATCAGAGAAAGAAAAAAAAAAGGAAGAGGCTAATACTCCAATCCATCGGTCAAGGCAGAATTTAGTCAAGGTCCCTAACAGACCTCGGGTGGGTCCTCATTAGAGTTCCTTGCAACTTCCTCACAAGAAGATCTGACTGTTACTGAACAAGGAGGTAGGAAAACGAAGAAAAGCAACAAACACCTCTATGCTAAAAGCTGGCTGACTTAATTTTATTAAGGATTAGAAAAGTTTATGAATTAGCACTCTACAGTGTCTGCAGTGACTACAAGCAGCCAGGACAGAGCCAGCTGTTGGCCAGTTGTGCTCTAGCAGCACCTTATTTGCAGAGAATAGAAACATTAATGCACCGATCAGCGGTCTGAATGGAGAATGAGTGGGAACAGGGCTTGAGGTGGCAGGGGAAGCGCTGTATGAATGGCGTGCGTTCATGGTGCCTAGGCTGGCAGGTCATCAAGCTTCCAGCACAAATCTGCATGCAGCATCTTAGGACACCCAAACTGAGAGGGAAAGGACAGGGACTAAACCAGGTAGGACAGTATGGGGACACTAGTCACTCTCAGCTCTAAAGGATATAAAAGGGCATGTGCAAACGCAGCACAATGTGGCCAGCCTAGGAAGAACCCATAAGACATGGTGAAGATTCGATTGCCCATGTTCCCTGTCTTCCATGTCACTGCAGTGAATGCTGGACAGACCACCTGCATAGCAGCACCTTGGTCGCTGAAAGCTGAATAGGCCACCTAGATACACACAGCTTTAGAGCACCACCTACGTACTCTAACTAGACACATAAAATCTGAATCTTTGGTTGGGAGTTTCCTTGTTACATTATGAGTGCCAAAATGAAAATTAATGTTCCTCTGGAGGCGGTGATGTACTGCTGATCAGTGTACCTGAGACCCTGGATGGTTTCTGTGACAGTCCTGATGTGATCTGCATGGACCAATGGTGGAGGGTCTTGTACTGATGGGCAGTGAAGGCTTTTGGCCAACATATA